AACGATTCCCCATTTACATGTTGCCTAGATCAGCGACGCTTACACACCGCTCCACTTTCTGGTTTTCAAGCGATTTTCTCCGAATCACTTAATTATGGTGCACGCTCTTGGTTGATGATTGTTCATTAATGTCATGTGTGTGTGTTGCATCAATGATATGTAGGCATGGTCGCCGATAATGGAGTAATTAGCCAATACAACTTTGGCCCGTCTTGGCCTGGCCCGGCCCGACTTTTAGGCAATCCCCCAAAATATCGCGTTCTCGCGATCTCGCATTCTCGTGTTTTTGATACATAGCACTTTTTATCAAAAGTCGACAACGTGAGAATGCGACATTTGGACATGATGAAAAATTTCGCAATCTCGCAATCTCGACTTGTCAAATTAGGCCACAAAAACACAAGATCGCGAGAACGCGAGAATGCGACATTTCATTTTCTCGCGATCTTGCGTTCTTGTGTTTTAGACGCTGTCTGTGCGCATGCGTAATATCATAAGGTCAAGGCGCATGCACACGTTCGTAGTCCGGGGGTCATGCTTCTTGCATGCTCTTCATTCTCCAAGTAGCATTTAGAAAACTGATGACGTGAGCTTGCAAATGCTATGTAATTTACATGCACAAAGTCCCATGTAGAGTAGAGTAGAGTCCTCTCCATTTGGTACTTTAAACTAAAACCCTCAACATGCTCAATATAATTCAACACAGAAAATGTCCAGTTATAGTGAAAACATTAAAGTGTCCCGAAGCCGGAAACAAAATATCACTGTCAGTGAGAGAGTAAATATTGCTTAAAGCCACATCAGCAGTATTGCAGCTCTTCGCGGCTGCACCATCAGTTACAGAAATAATTACAGGCCAGTGATTGTCAACATGAGGCAATATTATACACGGCTAGCCTATTCATTAAAACAAAACTCTCAAAGACGAATTTGTAACATTTGGCTAACATGAGACTGTCCGATGTTTTTTACACGATACCATATTCGCTATTTTAGGCCATACAAAATTAATTAATAGATTTTCATCCTCTCCCACCTGACTACAAAACATCGCAACTTACATTATTCTATTGCCTCAAACTTCCTAGAAATAGAAATATCGCTGATATTTGTGTTCCTACTCCGTACGTGTAGCTCTACTGAACACGCATGATGCATGAGAAACGAACCCTTTGACAGCAATTGTAAACAGATGCCTTATATAGTTCGATAAGAGAACGTATTAACAATAAAATGTTATTAAAAATGCGTTCTGTCTCCCATGAATTTAACTATTGATGTATTGCGGCCTTGACATCCACATGATCGCTCAGTCGTCTGAGGCGTCGCAATTTGCTGTGTAGAGTTGCGTTCCTTATGCGCGCCAGAAACCTATGATGGTGGGTTTCGTCCCATTTCAAGCTGACAAGCCAGGGTATAACTGAAATATTAATACTGTTCAAAGCGGTGTTAAGCCAAACGCACTCACTTATTCAGAGCCATGTCGGTCCCTATTGGGGTACTTATTCAGTATAAACATGTTATTGTTTTTTTTATCGAACTATTTAAAGCATCTGTGTACAGTTTCTGTCGAAGGGTGTGATTCACATGCATCATGCGTGTTCAGTAGGGCTACGTGTACGGAGTAGGAATAGACATATTAGCGATATTTCTATTTCTAGGAAATTTGAGGCAACAGAGGAAAGGATGAAAATCTATTAATTAATTGTGCATGGCCTGACGCACCGAAAATGGTGTCGTGTAAAAACATCGGACTATCTCATGTTAGCCGGGCCCGTGAAGATTCCGGGGTAGAATAGGTCTTCAGCAACCCATGCTTGCCGTAACAGGCGACTATGCTTGTCGTAAGAGGCGACTAACGGGATCGGGTGGTCAGGCTCGCTGGGTTGGTTGATGCATGTCATCGATCCCAATTGCGTGGATCGATGCTCATGATATCAATCATTGGATTGTCTGGTCCAGACTCGATTATTTACAGACCGCCGTCATATAGCTGTAATATTGCTGAGTGCGGCGTTAAACAACAAATCAATCAATCAAATCATGTTAGCCGAACGCTACAAATTCGTCTTTTGAGAATCTTGTTTTAATGAATATGCTAGCCGTGTATAATATTGTCTCACGGAGAAAATCACTGGCCTGTGATTATTTCTGTAACTGACGCGAAGAGATGCAATACTACTGATGTGACTTTAAGCAATATTTACTCTCTCACTGACAGTGATATTTTGATTCCAGCTTCCGGACACTTTAATGTTTTCACTGTCCGTGAACATTCATGTACACAATTTCTTTTCTTAAATTATATTGAGCATGTTGAGGGTTTTAACTTAAAGTACATAGGAAACTGTACCAAAGGGAGAGGACTCTACGCTACATGGGACTTTGTGCATGTAAATTTCATGGCATTTTCAAGCTCAAGTCATAAATTTTCTAAATGCTACTTGAAGAATGAAGAGCATGAAAGAAGCATGACCACCAGACTGCAAATGTGCGCATGCGCCTTGACCTTCTCATATTACGCATGCACACAGACAGCGTCTAAAAAACGAGAACGCGGGATCGCGGGATCGCGAGAAATGTCGCATTCTCGCATTCTCGCGTTGTCGCGATTTTGTGGCCTAATTTGACAAGTCGAGATTGAGAGATTGCGAAATTTGTCATCATGTCCAAATGTCGCATTCTCACTTTGTCGACTTTTGGTAAAAAGTGCTATGTATCAAAAACACGAACATGCGAGATCGCGAGAACGCGATATTTTGGCCAAATCTCGCGTTCTCGCATTCTCGTGTTTTTGGCATATTTAGCTCGTTTCCAAAGGTCGAGGTGGCGAGAATGTCCCTTACAGTATTCCAAAGCGTAATCAAAATTAGCCTTCTAACAGTTTGTGATATCCTTCGAATATCAAGGAATATGTACCTTATTAAAGATTAAAAAAATGATGGGGCAAATGTTCATGCGGACCATATCCAGGTAAGTTAAGAGTTATTCTGCTGTTAAAACCAGAACACTAGGAATTGTGCTATGAAGTGCGTTTGAAGATACACATGGCCCTTGTGGTAAAATATCGGTTGATGACGCACATTGTATAAAATGGGTGGGTCCCCCCTCAACGTATATTGACCTATACATTCGAGTACAGTTGTAAACACACAATATACTTTGTAATATATCAACGTTGATTTTAAAGGTCACCATGTCACCATATCACACGTTCGAGTATAATGGTAAACCCACAATATACTTTGTAATACATAAACGTTGATTTTTTTTTAAGTCACCATGTCACCGCATCACACGTTCGAGTATAATGGTAAACACACAATATACGTTGTCATATATAACCATTGGTTTTATTTGTCACGTGCACCATGTCACTATATCACACGTTCGAATATAATGGTAAACTCACAATATACTTTGTAATACATGAACGTTGATTTTTTTTAAGTCACCATGTCACCACATCACACGTTCGAGTATAATGGTAAACACACAATATACGTTGTCATATATAACCATTGGTTTTATTTGTCACGTGCACCATGTCACTATATCACACGTTCGAATATAATGGTAAACTCACAATATACTTTGTAATTATAAATGATCCACCAGTGTATATATGGGCCCAGTTGTCCCAGGTAGTTTCAATTTTTAGTGATAACTGCTTATCGTAGTAGGGTTGGGTTTTCTTTTTAGTTACTTCTGATGTAAAAGCAGTGTCAAATTTGGGAGTTTTCATAGTCTAGGGAGCGTGTAACCCTTTGTAGTGACTTTCTGGTGGCTGAATGTCATCACAATTTTTACCGAGGCATCTGCTTTACAGTTGCCGTTGCTGCCAGCATGACTGGACAGCAAACACAGCACAATGTCTTATTCAGCTAAGGACACATTGATATGACACCTTAAAATTTTAGCTGAGAATGGATGATCCAGTTTTCGATTTTTGATTCCTGTTAACTGGACATATTGCTATTGTGTACTTCGGCAAGAGTAGACTAATATGGAGGAGAGAATACGTTGTTATATGTTGGATTAGACTGGTGTGGTCGAAGTTTAGTGTTGCAATGTCATGCCAGTTTTATTCGTCTCAAATTAAGAACAGGGCTATCCGCAGACAAACTGGCAGTGGACGATGTTCTAAATGCTACAAGACAACCGAAGTCCCTGGTGGTGAACGGTATCAAGTGGTGAACGGAGGCAACCGTATAATCAAGTTTAAACCAGATCAAAGTTCAATTGCAGAAGTGTTTTTTTTCTAAATCTCCATCCCACTTAGTATTTTGACCACATCAATTTATCAAAATACTGCCACACTACAACAACAATCCCTCGTCTCAATATAACAACTCCTCACCATACTACAACAACAACACCTCACCATACTAAAACCTCTCACCATACTGCAATAACTTCTTGCCATACTAAAGCAACAACTCCTAACCAAACTACAGCAACAACTCTTTTCGCCATACGATATGGCTGAAATATTGCCGATGTGACGTTAAATATTAACTCACTCACTACAACAACTCCTCACAATACTACAACAATTCCTCGCCATACTACAGCAACAGCCCTCGCCCTACCACAACAACAACTCCTCACCATACTGCAACAATCCCCTGCCATACTACAGCAACAACTCCCCACTATACTACAACTCCTTACCATACTACAACAACGTCCATCGCCATACTACAACAATTCCTCGTCATAATATAACAATCCCTCAGCATTCTACAACAATCTTTCGCCTTACTAAAACTACATTTGGCTATTCAACGACAAATCCTCCTAATAATTTAACAATCCTTCACCAGACTACAACAATCCCTAGCCCTACTAAAACTATATCTCGCTATTTAACAACATTTTCTCACCATACCACAACAATCCTTCACCATGTTACCACATTTTTTTTATTTTTTGTTACAGTTTTTTAATTATGTACATCATTTTTTTCAAAACACACACGAAGTAATTACATACACGTCCATGGCGCACAAGCCATCCCGCGATCTCATACACCATAATTTCTTGTGGATACACAGCCAGGATCCACTGCTCTCAGGTTCGAACCCGGAAACTCCCCATCAGAACCACCCGAACGTTTACATTTCTAAACACCGATATGTCAGCTGTGTCCTGGCTTTTCAAAATCTAATGTTCTATATTCTTGTATCAAATTTAATAGAGAAGTGTCCTTTGATCGCGCAGCCAACATCTGCAATCTTTGGAAAAACAAACCTTTCGCATACTGATATAACATGACGTCAAATCTGTTCAAATGAAGTATTTTGTCACGTTGCACATTGGATAAATTGACTATGCCACTCCTTGTTTTACTGGGTGGAGTATCCTTGAATTTGGTGATGAAATTCAAGTTGAAAGTTTTCTCAAACAAGATCTGTGATAATTCTTGATAACCTGTCAAGCCGAAGTAAGCCATGTTCCGTAAGTTCTCTTTTGCACTTGCCAGCATGAGATAGTGCCTTTCGTCGTTCGTGAGACCGGAGGCGGAAGTATTGTAACAACCAACAATGCTCAGGTTGGCTAACATACGGGTTTGTCTGTTTATGGCGAGATTTGATGCGCAGTCCATGAAATCTTGAAGAGTGACGTGAAACCAGTTCGTTGTATTAAAGCATGGGGGAACTTCCTTCTCTGTAGCTGGACGGCCATTGCATACAAGTCGTGCCTTTTCCCATGTTGTTCCACGATATACATGTTTCCATTCGCTGACGAACCTACGCACGGGGTCTCTTACCATCGTGATGTACATGTATCTGACAAACATACAACAAAAATACGCATGTGGTGACAGATAAAAAATGAATATGTAGTTGATAAACATACAAAAGACAAGAGACAAAAGAATTCAAATCCTTAATAATCCGTTCTGATACAATTATTAATAATTTTGACTTTAAATAAGGCCATAGATCATGCCAAATTGTCAACTGTCGTCTTAGGCCCGGGTGCAGTGACTTAAACGCTGGTAAGTTTAGACGACACGTGTCAGACATACCATACTGCACTTGTGGATATCACTTTGAAGATGCAATTCACTTTTCTATATCTGTCAAAAATACGATACTATCAGAAACACTAGTATGTATTTCTTCACACGTGGGTTAGTTTAAAAACGATATTACATGGCAGTAGTTCAGTCTGCAGTTTTACAAACATGACCGTCCTGAAATCAGTTCACGATTTCATTGTCAAAAGCAAATGATTTGACTAGGTTATTTTTATGCGTGTAGCAATGGAAAACTGCATTATCTTATTTCACAGACACCACTTCAATGTATTGGCTTCATGTAATTCATTTGTGCATTTAGTATGTTTACGTTTAGCACTCTCTTATATATAACCAGCTGTTGTTGAGATATTACCTGGAGAGGTATTTACATCAGCAAGTTTTGCTTGTTTACCAATCCAGATTTATTTTGAAATAAAAATATGTTTAAACCAAAGACAAGAAACATTGTACATTCAGAAAAGCCATTCTGTTTCACGCGTTCTCCATGACTAGACTTATCATACGTATACAGTAGAACACGGATATAACGAACATGGATAGAGCGAATAAACGGATGCCCCGAACTGTTACAAAATTCCAGATTTATCTCCTCTATTCGTATTTCGCACACGGGCCCGGCCAAGCCATTTATAGAATTTTGGAAATTTTGAAATTTTGAAAAAATGCCAAGAGGGTTTGGGGGACGAACTAAGGGACCTGAGTATGGAAGTTTGTTAGTTTGATTATGTGGTCTGGTTTGGTAGTTTATTGGGGTATTAAATGCGATTTATTAGTCCTGTTTTGATTAAGTATACGCCTAAGGCTTTGAATTTTTCTCTTTTATTTTGTGGGTTTAGGATTGCTTCTAGAGTAAGAGCCTTATGTAGATTTAGGGTGGTTTGTAGTGTATTTCTGTGTGTTAGGTAGTGGGTGCAGTGTATGAGTGCGTGTTCTGGGGTTTCTTGTTGTTTGCAATGTGGGCAGGTTCCTGTTGCGTGTTTTCTTATTATTTTGAGGTGGTTATTTAGGTTGGTATGTCCTATTTGGAGTTTAGTAATTACTATGTCGATTTTTTTGGACGGATGTAGAATTTTTGGTTTGGTTAGGGGCTTTTTGAGAACCTTTTTGATTTGGCTATTTGAGTTTTGATATAGGCTATGCCATTTTTGGTAATTATTTGTTTGTTGACACTTTTAATTTCTGATTTGGAGATGGGTAGGTTTAAGCTTATTTCTGGGATTTTAAGGGATAGTTTAGCTGCTTTATCGGCGTTTTCATTGCCGTATATTCCTACGTGGGCGGGGATCCAATTGAATACTATTTGTTTGCCTGCCTTAGTTAAATCGTTTGAGCTTTTGAGTATCTGATTTATTAGTTCATGGCGGTTTTTGATGTTTTTATTTTGGAGGGCTTGTAGTCCACTGAGCGAGTCGGTAAGTATAAGGATGTTTTGTTGTTTTTTAGATTGTTGATTATGAAGGGCTGAGGCCATGCCCATTAGTTCGGCCGTGAATAGTGATTGATTGTTTGGGAGTCGTTAGGATTGTGTGGCTTTAGTTGGTTGTGTGATGTGGACTCCGATACCTGTGTGTTTGGAGATCGGATCTGAGGATCCGTCTGTGTAAATGTGACACCAATTTGGCAGAATAAATACAAAATATTTGCAAAGGTGGTATACAGCTACACACAGATATTGTTAAAATATATTTGCTTCTGTTTGCCCATGATATTTTAAATGATTTCTGTACTGTACTGTACTGTACTGTACTGTACTGTACCCGGACTTCAAAGTCAGATAAATGTGCTGGAGCAATTTTGTGAACAATTTGGATGAAGCGTTAGCACGAAAATGACCTAAGTTATTGTACTTAAATACGGCGGTATGTTTTCAAAAAGGGATGTTCATCTTCTAATCTATATATCTTTAATGGCCGCTGTCGTGCCGATAACTCAGTGGGTAACTTGACTTTTATTTCTAGTGCATGTGTAAGTGTAATTGATTAAATAATATGAACAAGTGACTTGTTTACACGTTGTTCAGATTTAATTAACTAAACTAGGCCATGATCACCTCACGTGCCAATCACATGTTCATTCCAGTCAAGTGTTCCAACTAACAAGAACAATGCTTCACGAGATACACATTTTGCTGATGTCAGCTTCAAGTTTAAATGGGACAACGATTGTGCAAACAAGTTCCGGGAGAATATTCTCCCTGCTGAAATAACTGATATGTTCAGATGACTGTGTTAGTTAGCCCTGTCAGATGTAAATAAAGGAACAGAAATGTTTTCAGATGCTTTACGTCGAGCGGCAGAGAAAGGTAGAGTTTATGGGTGTTAAAGATGATCAGTCTTGGTTTGATAAAGAATGTCGATATTTAAAACTAGAAACCAAGCGATTGTTACACATATTCAGAAGAAGAACAGATAGGTTTTCATTACAGTCTTATACTGAGAGCAGGAATAAATATAAGAATCTCCTTCGGGATAAAAAGAGGATTACGCCGATTTCAGCAATATTCCAGCAATATCACGGCGGGGAACACCAGAAATGGGCTTCACACATGGTACCCATGTCGGGAATCGAACCTAGGTCTTCGGCGTGACGAGCGAACGTTTTAACCACTAGGCTACATGTTCGTTTGTAAACACTGAAAGAAGTATCTGCCTGACCTTTCACATTTGCATCTCCATCCGCATATGACCACAACAAAAACCGTTCCAGCATTGGAACCTTCCCATTATATGATAAATAACTTTTACCTGCGTTGGAAATGTCGGCCGTAACGCTTGTCCATTGCCCCGTCCACACATTCATGAAGGTAAGTCCAGTCTGGGTGGACCTTACACGGCCAAACATTGTTTACCCATTGGAAAAGAACATTAGAGCTCCAATGTATAGAGCAGTTATTTGGTGTTTCGTTATTGCTCTTACACCATGGGCTGACGTCAACGTCGTTAGTCAGATGGAATTCCAATGTAGAGCTTCCTGTTTTCTGTATACGCATGAAGACAATGACATCACTTCCATTGGCACTGACGTTGAAGCTTCGAATCAAATCATCTTTTCGGAAATCATCCTTGGTAAGCTGTGTCACGTTGTATGATTCATATTCGTCAAGTTGAGAAATATGATGACTGTTAATAAATTGGATCTTTGAAGAGTCCCTATTGCCTCGGATAACCAATTCATACAAAGTTATTATAATATTATAGCTAATTAAAGCTGCCGTGACCACATATGCCAAAACAGTAATATTCCGTCGCTTTTTCAATGCCCTCGTCATCTCCGTACGTTTTCCGATCAAGAGGATAAGGAGACGGTCAAAGTTCCTCAGCAGGCTGCTGCCAGTGGTACTCGAGATACTGATTTACTCATATGCAACCACTGTCGTTTTCCGTAGCAGGGTGACTTGATATACATCTATATTCCACGCCCATCTGTTGTTCACATGTGTTGATGGGCAGAGGATTAGTTGTCGCTTTGAAATTAATTATATTCCTATTATATAACTTTCGTGCCAGCTACAATATTAATTAATTCCATACTCAATATCTCAAGTTATCACTAGTATTCATATGAGTGTATATCTGCATGATGAGATTGTCTTCTTGAATAGCAACAAGCAACTAGCAATGACATATGATACCTCACTACCTACCAGGCAGCCTGAAATGTTTGTACCAATCCAGTTGATATCACACAGCAAGCAATACATGCAAGTTGAACTCACTTTAAATTCTATCCATGAAACAGCAGGTCAATGCATGGCTCCCAACTGCAGTGTGAAGACCGCAATGCAATGTTCCCAACTGACGTGTGAAGACAGCAATGCAATGTTCCCAACTGACGTGTGAAGACCGCAATGCAATGTTCCCAACTGACGTGTGAAGACCGCGGCCATCTGTTCTTCACACGACACGATGACGATTTCGTTTATCGGTTTTTGTTTCTTTCGTCTTCCTACCTATTGAAAACTTTGTTTGTTTTTAACATTTGACATACATAGAGGTATCTTTGATAATCCAATTGTTTTAAGACATATTTATGATATTTGTATATAAAAAGCATAAAAGAATATACCACAATATATCGTGGGATATAACTCGCTGTATGTCGCTGCTCTTACGGGTGCCAGTTTCACAAAACTGGAAAACTCCTGAGACCTGCATCACTTGAACATCACCTTGACACGCTGTATTGTAACTGGAACACTGTTCGAAGCAGTGTTAACAGAAACCTACTCAATAAGGTGCACGATCATCAAGACCATACATCACGTGTATTACAGTGTTCCTTTGCCAAACTACAGCTATACCTCACTGGGTTCGATTCCCGACCTGGGTACAATGTGTGAAACCCATTTCAGGTGTCGCCCACCGTGATATTGCTGTAATATTGCTTACATCGGCGTAAAACCATGCTCACTAACTCCATACTGCATGACAATGATCCCTAATCCTAATACATGAACAGTGATCTTCCATCACGTTGTATTTCCCTTCACCAAACAACAACATTTCAAATCATATTACAACCATTTGCCTACAGAAATCTTTCATCATGCTAAATCGACATCTTACCAACAATACAGTAAACTACGGTTATAACGAACACGCTTATAACGAACTGACGGATTTAACGAACATACTTTTTGGTCCCGACTATTTGCTGTAGTTATGCTGTATATATGCTGTATATATGCTGCATATATGCTTATAGCGATTTACGGCTGTAACGAACTAAAATGAGTGGTCCCTTTGAGATCGTTATAACCGTAGTTTACTGTACATTGTTCTATCAGCATGCTACAACGATCCCTCGGCATACTTCATCGATCTCTTTGACATATCACGACAAGCTATCACCTTACGTCAAGCATCCCTCTGCATAAAACAACCGATTGCCATACGACATGTCCCACGATAGTATAGCAAATCCTAACGATAATAAAACTATATCTCGTCATTCTACAACAATCCCTCAGAATATCCCTTTCCATATGCAACAAAAACCCATCACCATACTATGAAAACCACCCACCACTGTACTTCTACAATCAATCGCCATAGTAATGAAAAACATAATACATGCATTTATGCTTGAGAAACTGTAAGACTGTTTTAATCTGAGATTTGAAAGGGAAATAGTGGGATCGGATTCGAGTTTTTTTAGCAGATTGTTCTAATGTGTTACAGTGATCCTTACCTGTCACCTGGGTTGGCCCATAATGAATGTCGTAAAAGGCGACTAACGGGATCGGGTGGTCAGGCTCGCTGACTCTGTTGATGCATGTCATCGATCCCAATTGCGTGGATCGATGCTCATGATATTAATCACTCGATTGTATTGTCCAGACTCGATTATTTACAGACCGCCGTCACATAGCTGGGATATTGCTGAGTGCGGCGTAAAACAACCAACCAACCAACCAACTTAATGAATGTAATTGATGTTCCATAATCTTTTGTGAGGTTTATAGGTATACTTTAAGGCTCGTGTAATGTATGAGCTATCATCAGGCAAGTGAAATGCATTTGATTTCTCCACGAACATATCTTATTTGGGCCAATATCAAATGAGGGTTTACTGGTTTTGGTACTTATTATTGTGATGTATACAGACGTTCTTCATCCCAGTAATGGTATATTTTACGACTGTTTCAATATGTATCTCGGAGAAGTGAGTCGATCAAGGGAGAATCGAGCGTGTGAGGTCGAGAAAACAGGATGGAGAAACAGTGCGAGAGAAAGTAAGAGAAAGAGGGGCACTGGGAAAAAGACATGGCGAGGGACAGAAAGAAAGAAGAAGTGAGTCGATCAAGGGAGAATCAAGAGTATGAGGTCGAGAAAACAGGATAGAGAAACAGTGCGAGAGAAAGAAAGAGAAAGAGGGGCACTGTAAACAAGACATGGCGAGGGACAGAGAGAAAGAAAGAGATAATAGAGATCACTACTTTCATTCAAAACGATGATGACCTAAATTTACAAAATTCAAAGATTGAGCTTCTTCTTCATGATTAAACAGACTTTAGCGAAAGAGAACACAAAACATGCAATGAAGGTTCTTTATGTGGACGGCCAATACCTGCTACCGTTAGGGAAAGGAATGCTTACTAATTTCGCGAATACATGGAGTCATCATTGATTTTCAGTAATCTATTAAAACAATTTTCACCGGTATTTTGCCTTTTACTCACACGGGAATCTGTCGGATAATCGAGACTGATTATTCTCTGGCGTTGCCATTTATATTTACATGCTGACATATTATATTTATTTGAATGCAAATTGGGACGGATTTTCAATGATTGGTTTGGTTGGTTGGTTTGTTGTTTAACGCCGGACTCAGCAAAATTCCGGCTTTAAGACGGCGGTCTGCAAATAATCGAGTCTGGACCAGACAATCCATGGGCCAGTCATTAATGTCATGAGCACCGATCCACGCACTTTGGATCGATGACATGTATCAACCAAGTCAGCGTGCCTGACCACCCAATCCCGTTAGTCGCCTTTTACGACAAGCATAGTCGCCTTTTACGGCAAGTATGGGTTGCTGAAGACCTATTCTACCTGGAATCTTCACGGGTCGATTTTTAATGAGAAATAGAAAAACGAAAATTGAAAATAATATCATGAAACAATAGGAAAATAGATTGCGGCATAAAAATTTATAAATGTCACAAATAGTTTATATTCCTATTTTAGCAAAGACCCTAAGCAACTGATAATAATGGACATAACCTTTCCTTTATGAAGCACTCACTACGTCCCATGGATGTGTCCAAGACATTGTATTACCCTAGTTAACAGGCCAGGGCGCCATGCTCTCACATTTCATTATCAGCTTATCCAAAGACGCTACGTGACAATCGAGTAAACTCAGCAACTTCGTCGTTCTTAGGCCTATAATGTTATTTATGCTAATAGTCCGCAAAAAATGTATGTGGATAAGTATCAATGGGAGGTCATGAAAAAATTAATAACTTGACACACCATATAAATGGAATAAAAGTGTTTTGTTTTTTACAATAAACACATCAGATATTCTGAACAAAAAATCTTGCATGCTGTCTCAAGGTCATCACGTACACTCAACGTAGACCATGTGGATCTAAAGTCATTGTTATCCGACTTGATAAGATAACACATCAACCTCAAACAGCTGGTTTTGGTCTTCGGCAACTTTTGAAAGTCCACTTGATCATATTGACTGCCCCCATGAACATCAGGGCGGTTAACTGTCTTTTCTTTGTAGTAGGCCTTGTGCCGTGCATTGCTACACCTAGCAAGAGGGATTTAATCTTGGGAGCTGAAGTTGCTCTCTATGATGTCCGCGATCTGCAAGTCCCCAAAACCAAACATGCGTTTCCACCGTTTCGATGGGATGAAGAGCAGGGCATGTGGCCAAGTGACGTCAAGATGAATTTCCATGGCAATCCGGATTATGCTCTCTTTAGACAAATATTCGGCATCTTTGATAACAATATGTTTGCGACAACATACATCACAACGTGTGTTGCTGAGGCAAGACGACACTTTGACCCAGCATGGTATAACCAAACCATTGGCTTGGTGATGAATGGCATCAACGCCATCAAACGTCATCATGATTTAAATGTGAATTATTCCAATTCCTTAATGACATTCTGGCCTCAAACGTATAATAACGACTCCAAGGTATATAACAGCTACCCCGTAAACCTCAATGACGTGATTCATCTGACTGAGAATTTACCTCTGAATGCAACCTACGCATTTCTTGAAAGTCTTGGACTTAAGGATGTGGACAGAATCATCCATGAACTCGTTGAAATGAGGTAATATATTATGTTATTGTCATTTAAGCAAGCTTACGAGGCGTATTTATATTACACAAATGTTTATAGAAGATATCCCATTGAGAATCACCGTCAAGCATGTCCTGCTTGACTGTGATGATTTTATCATCACAATGGATAAATATTTCATGTTCAATCCATAAAGATTTTTGGGATACTATTTGTTCTCATTTAGTTATTGTTTATTTTAAAGGAATATAATTGTGTAATAAATGTTCTTCATATGTTTTATATAAAATAAATGGCTTTTTGAAATTGTTAGAAAGAATTGATATCTGAGATTGTTAGTGGCTGGATCTTCGAAGGGGTTAAAGAAGAAAACATCGTAAGTCCATGTCATTCAAAGAATATTTACATCTACTTCGTTTTTAAGGTAGACTTTTTGTCATTTTAATTGATGGCTAAAGTTACGTACAATCGCCACTGGAGGAATGGTGTAAATCCTGCTGGGGTCCATACAAGTAGCACGGGTATTGACTGTAAGTTTCAATGGTCCCCAGTAGGTGGCGATCTATAGCTTGTTTCTATCATGTATGGTTACGTATGGTGATATATTTTTAAGATTATCCAGTAATTGTAAACAAAACCTGTGTAAAGTATAGTTAGTTTTCTATCCTTCTACGAAGACCGCCTCCGTGGTCTTGTGGTAGAGCGTCCGCCCGGAGAGCGGAAGGTTCGGGCTTCGAACCCCGGCCGCGTCATACCAAAAGACGTTAAAAGATGGTACTTGTTGTTACGCTGTCTGGCGCGACATTAAGGGGCTAAAACAAGGACTGGTCGGCTCTGAGTCAGTATACTGTGTCTGAGTGGGGTATTCTTGTTAAACTGCGGCATGGTATCTCAGAGGGCTAGCACTATACATCGACATCATTCCGGATTAGTACAAGCAGCCACACACACACTACAGTACGTCAGATATCACTGCTTGACCACATTCCTGCTGCACTGACCAAATCTCGATATACTGGCTTATTATAGGGACACTAAGATGAAATATGGACTTGCTTATAGCCTCAACACTAATCGTACGTACTGATAAAAAGGTTTGAATACAAATAGCATTTACAATAAACAAAGTAGATTGATATTTCATATTCTTCTGAATATTTCAAGAAACGTCTCCACACTGGAATTCCACCTACCTCCGGATTTCGATGATACTTTCCTCAACATTGGTTTGGGTTCGATGCTTGCCGAAATGTCTCTAGAGTACCCCGGAGCGTTCAAACTGTGGTCGTCCCACAACACCAACACTACGTCCGTGTTCGATGCTCTCAAGTACTACGCTTACAGGTGATAATCGAATCTTTATCGCATGTTCTTATGACCGGGCAGTCTTTAACGGTAATTTACCCATAGCCCATTCCAGATGATGGCCTTACAATGTCCGCATCTGTAAATATATAATTCATGTGTATATATATATATATGTTGATATATTTGTATTGCTCAAATACGTTTATATTTCTTAAACAGTCAAGACATAAACTGAAAAAAAAACTACCATCAACGCGTGAGATTAACCAATCTCGATTTAGCACTGAAACAGATTGCATTGGCGTAAAATGCAAAATAATAGTGAAAATTAAATTATTGATCCGTGAAAATCAGTGATGACACCAGGTGTTCATGAAAAGGGTTATCATGTCCTACTGGTAGCACCAGCCAATCACTGAAGTTGCATAACAAAATATGTGTTTTTATCTTGTCTGACACACACACGCACGCACACACACATACACACGATTTGTTGAGTAAGCGATTATAGTTTCATGCCATCTCCAGTCGTATCCCAAGAATATTCTACCGGGTACCCAGGTAACGGCTTCACACAATGTGCCCACGTTGGGATCAAACTGAATCTTGGTGTGCCAGACATTACTGACCACGTGGTAACCCATAACTTACAGAAGGTAGACAGTAAATTGAAAAAAAACATATAACAGAACCGGTAATTTTCCCGTGTGCTACTCTCTACTATGTCATCCTGCCAGCATACATTGTGGTCAGTAAAATTGGTTTGCAGATCCTCCCATCCTTCTGTTCCTGCACATATTCCCGTTTCTGCAATATGACATTGTAGATATTAGTCATGATCGCTGAAACCTTCCTTAATAACAAGAAAAAAACACTTTACACCCCAAGACCGTTCTCCGGGGACCAACGTGTGAACACCATCGACTCCAGGAGCTACTACTACCTTAGGCCGTGGTTGGAGCAGGAGAAGGCAGCCGGGCGTGATGTCGCTCTTGTGCCAACGTGGGTGAGTATGTACTCTCACTCGCTTGGTATGAATAAAACGCATACCGTATTTATTATTATTTCAGTGAATTACATGTTACAGGCCTAGGTGAGTATAGTTAAGAGTTTCATCAGTCTACTGGCTGTAAAATACAGAAATATATCTTGCATCAATCATATACGAATATACATATAACACTAACACACACACACACACACACACACACACACACACACACACACACACACACACACACACACACACACACACGCGCGCGCGCGCGCGCGCGCACACACACACACACACACACGATGCACATGGGTTACATCTACGAACTGCACCTTTTCGTTCTGTGTTTAGCCACCTCACTGCCAAGTGAGATATGTTGTCTAGATTAGAGAATCACGGTAAGCATTAATACTTATTTATGATAAAGTAGACTTTCCTGACAGTAAGTGTTCAGAAATCAAAGATTCCAGATTAACGGAGTTCGGACTAACAAGGTGTTTGATTCGACGTTGAACCGAATTTGAAATCGTCGTACATCCCAGGTTTCTCATTTACCCAACTCACTCACTCGGATAAGAGCTGTCAATTTTAGCCAATTCGTGTCGTTCCGAATATACGTATATTCTATTATTGTAAGAAATAAATAACAAAGTGGTGTCAACTATTACATACAACATGTGTGACCCGCCGGGAGAAAATAGACATTATGGGTGCTAGGATACAATTGGGCTGTGACGTCATAAAGAAAGGCGTTTAACGTCACCTTACTTCTGTAAAAATAACCACGTGTGTAAAAACATATCGTATTTTCTCTCGATAGTTCGTAATGTAAAAAAAACATTATTTTAAATCATTTCAGAATGCATGTTTTGAATAAATAAATTATTACATAAACAGTCATACGTCTGAAAATATTTGATGCTATGTGTCTCTGTAATAAATATGAATTGAAGCTTATCACTTGTATTTTTGTGGTCCCAGGATACTGAATATATACTGAAAATATAACGAGAATTCAAAATGGTATTTTCACCCAAAAGGTCCCTTATCTCTTGGTGGATCACAGATAGTCTATCCCCTGTGCAGGTCCAGGATACTGATGAGGTACGCACCTGGTTCGACAAGGGAGTCATGATGCCTTCCAACGTCAACAACGTTGACGTCACTGTGTGTGCTAACTTCATCTACGCCGTGACATCAGGCATCATCCACGGCGTCCTTCAACCATCGTTATTAGATGACCCTGATATCATGGTATCGTGTTTAACACATTTTAAACATTATTCTTTATCAGTTGTACTGTTTTACCGGTACATTGTATTGGCAGTATATGTTCGTTTCACAAGGTGTGTGCACCGTCTTGTTATATGTACGGTGATGTGTTGGTAATAATGTGTAAAAGGCGAATGACCTTCGAGTATACGTATTCTTACATCTACCTCCAAGCATTCTAACATCTACCTCCAAGCATTCTTACATCTACCTCCAAGCACTCTTACATCTTCCCCAAAGCCTTCTTACGTCTACCTCCAAGCATTCTTCGATCTATCTCTAAGCATTCTTACAACTACTTCCAAATATTCTTAAATCTACATCCAAGCATTCTCACATCTACGTCCTACCCTACGTACATCTACCGCCAAGCAATTTTACATCTTCCTCCAAGCATTCTTACATCTATCCCCAAGCATTCTTTTTAACCTCCAAGCATTCTTAAATCTACTCCCAAGCATTTTTACATCTACCCCCAAGCCTTCTTACTTCTACCTCCGAGCATTCTTACATCTACCTCCGAGTATTCTTACATCTACCTCCAAGCATTTTTACATCTACCTCCGAGTATTCTTACATCTACCTCCAAGCATTCTTACATCTACCCCCAAGCCTTCTTACTTCTACCTCCAAGCATTCTTACAACTATCTCTCAGCATTCTTACATCTACCTCCAAGCATTCTTACATCTACCGCCAGTCATTCTTACATCTACCTCCAAGCATTCTTACATCTACCTCCGAGTATTCTTACATCTACCTCCAAGCATTCTTACATCTACCCCCAAGCCTTCTTACTTCTACCTCCAAGCATTCTTACAACTATCTCTCAGCATTCTTACATCTACCTCCAAGCATTCTTACATCTACCGCCAGTCATTCTTACATCTACCTCCAAGCATTCTTACATCTACCGCCAATCATTCTTACATCTACCTCCAAGCATTCTTACATCTACCCCCAAGCCTTCTTACTTCTACCTCCAAGCATTCTTACATCTACCGCCAATCATTCTTACATCTACCTCCAAGCATTCTTACATCTACCTCCAATCATTCTTACATCTACCACCAATCATTCTTACTTCTACCGCCAATCATCCTTACTTCTACCTCCAAGCATTCTTACATCTACCTCCAAGCATTCTTACATCTACCACCAATCATTCTTACATCTACCTCCGATCATTCTTACATCTACCCCCAAGCCTTCTTACTTCTACCTCCAAGCATTCTTACATCTACCGCCAATCATTCTTACATCTACCTCCAAGCATTCTTACATCTACCTCCAATCATTCTTACATCTACCACCAATCATTCTTACTTCTACCGCCAATCATCCTTACTTCTACCTCCAAGCATTCTTACATCTACCTCCAAGCATTCTTACATCTACCTCCGATCATTCTTACTTCTACCTCCAAGCATTTTTACATCTACCTCCAAGCATTCTTACATCTACCTCCAAGCATTCTTACATCTACCGCCAATCATTCTTACATCTACCTCCAAGCATTCTTACATCTTTCTCTCAGCATTCTTACATCAACCTCTAAACATTCTTAAATCTTACTCCAATCATTCTTGCATCTTCCTTTAAGCATTTTTACATCTACCTCCGAGTATTCTTACATCTACCTCCAAGCATTCTTACATCTACCCCCAAGCCTTCTTACATCTACCTCCAAGCATTCTTACATCTACCAACTATCATTCTTTCATCTACCTTCAAGCATTCTTACATCTACCTGCAAGCATTTTTACATCTACCCCCAAGCCTTCTTACTTCTACCTCCAAGCTTTCTTACATCTATCTCTCAGCATTCTTACATCAACCTCTAAACATTCTTAAATCTTACTCCAATCATTCTTGCATCTTCCTTTAAGCATTTTTACATCTACTTCCAAGCATTCTTACATCTACCGCCAATCATTCTTACATATACCTCCAATCATTCTTACATCTACCTCCAAGCATTCTTACATCTACCTCCAAGCTTTCTTACATCTACCTCCAAGCATTCTTACATCTACCGCCAATCATTCTTACATCTACCTCCAAGGATTCTTACATCTACCTCCAAGCATTCTTACATCTACCGCCAATCATTCTTACATCTACCTCTAAGCATTCTTACATCTACCTCCAAGCATTCTTAAATCTACCTCCGAACATTCTTAAATCTACCTCCAAGCATTCCTACTTCTACCTCCAAGCATTCTTACATATACCTCCAAACATTCTTAAATCTACCTCCAAGCATTCTTACATCTACCTCCAAACATTCTTAAATCTACCTCCAAGCATTCCTACTTCTACCCCCAAGCATTCTTACATGTACCTTCAAACATTCTTAAATCTACCTCCAAGCATTCTTACATCTACCTCCACACATTTTTAAATCTACCTCCAAGCATTCTAACATCTACCTCCCAGCATTCTTACATCTACCTCCAAGCACTCTTACATCTTCCCCAAAGCCTTCTTACGTCTACCTCCAAGCATTTTTAAACATACCTCCGAGCCTTCTCACATCTACCTCCAAGCGTTCGTATATCCCCCTCCGAGTATCCATACACCTACCCCCGACTATTCGTACATCTACCTCAGAGTATTCTTACATTCTTACACCTACCCCCGACTATTCGTACATTTACCTCAGAGTATTCTTACATTCTTACATCTACCTCTGATAATTCTTACTCCAAAAGCTGCATATTCTTACGTCTACCTCCGAGTGTTCTTACATATACCGTCGATTCTTCGAAAATCGACACCCGAGTATCGTTACATTTACAGTTAACTACGGTCATAACGAACTCAAAGGAACCACGAATTCTAATTCGGTATCACCATAGTTGTAGGCATAATTATGTATACAGCATATTTACAGCAAATTGACGGGACTAAAAAACAGTTCGTTATATCCGGCATTTCGTTATAAGGGTGTTCGTTATAAACGTAGTTTACTGTACATCAGAGTACTCTATTACAGCACATCTACAACGATACAGCCAGGATGATCGCTTTCCAAGTGTCGACAAACTTCTCTGAGCGAGCAGACCTGGCGTTGACGTACTACCCCTCTGTCATAGAGTTCTACTGGCTCGTGGCTAGGACTTACAACAAACTACAGGAAACTCTCGACGGGACGGGATCGCTGCCACATAAGGTAATGCATCAACGTCGATGGTTAGCAAGACGTTATTTGACTATTACATCCTTCACTCTCAACGTAATCACCATGACGAGACGGCATCACTGCTACGTATGGTGCGTCATCAACGACAATGGTTACCAAGACGACATTTAACTGTTAGATCATGTATACTCACATTATCACCATGACGAGACGGTATCACTGCTACATATGGTGCGTCATCAACGACAATGGTTACCAAGACGACATTTCACTGTTAGATCATGTATACTCTCATTATCACCATGACGAGACGGTATCACTGCTACATATGGTGCGTCATCAACGACAATGGCTACCAAGACGACATTTAACTGTTAGATCATGTATACTCTCATTATCACCATGACGAGACGGTATCACTGCTACATATGGTGCGTCATCAACGACAATGGTTACCAAGACGACATTTCACTGTTAGATCATGTATACTCTCATTATCACCATGACGGAACGGTATCACTGCTACATATGGTGCGTCATCAACGACAATGGTTACCAAGACGACATTTAACTGTTAGATCATGTATACTGACATTATCACCATGACGGAACGGGATCACTGCTACATATGGTGCGTCATCAACGACAATGGTTATCAAGACAATATTTAACTGTTAGATCATGTATACTCACATTATCACCATGACGGAACGGGATCACTGCTACATATGGTGCGTCATCAACGACAATGGTTACCAAGACGACATTTAACTGTTAGATCATGTATACTGACATTATCGCCATGACGGAACGGGATCACTGCTACATATGGTGCGTCATCAACGACAATGGTTACCAAGACGACATTTAACTGTTAGATCATGTATACTGACATTATCACCATGGCGGAACGGTATCACTGCTACATATGGTGCGTCATCAACGACAATGGTTATCAAGACAATATTTCACTGTTAGATCATGTATACTCACATTATCACCATGACGGAACGGTATCACTGCTACATATGGTGCGTCATCAACGACAATGGTTACCAAGACGACATTTAACTGTTAGATCATGTATACTGACATTATCACCATGACGGAACGGGATCACTGCTACATATGGTGCGTCATCAACGACAATGGCTACCAAGACAACATTTAACTGTTAGATCATGTATACTCACATTATCACCATGACGAGACGGTATCACTGCTACATATGGTGCGTCATCAACGACAATGGTTACCAAGACGACATTTAACTGTTAGATCATGTATACTGACATTATCACCATGACGGAACGGGATCACTGCTACATATGGTGCGTCATCAACGACAATGGCTACCAAGACGACATTTAACTGTTAGATCATGTATACTGACATTATCACCATGACGGAACGGTATCACTGCTACATATGGTGCGTCATCAACGACAATGGTTATCAAGACAATATTTCACTGTTAGATCATGTATACTCACATTATCACTATGACGGAACGGGATCACTGCTACATATGGTGCGTCATCAACGACAATGGTAACCAAGACGACATTTAACTGTTAGATCATGTATACTCACATTATCACCATGACGGAACGGGATCACTGCTACATATGGTGCGTCATCAACGACAATGGTTATCAAGACGACATTTAACTGTTAGATCATGTATACTCACATTATCACCATGACGAGACGGTATCACTGCTACATATGGTGCGTCATCAACGACAATGGTTATCAAGACGATATTTCACTGTTCGATCATTTATACTCACATTATCAACATGACGGAACGGTATCACTGCTACATATAGTGCATCATCAACGACAATGGTTACCAAGACGACATTTTACTGTTAGATCATGTATACTCACATTATCACCATGGCGGAACGGGATCACTGCTACATATGGTGCGTCATCAACGACAATGGTTATCAAGACGATATTTCACTGTTCGATCATTTATACTCACATTATCACCATGACGGAACGGTATCACTGCTACATATAGTGCATCATCAACGACAATGGTTACCAAGACGATATTTCACTGTTCGATCATTTATTCTCACATTATCACCATGACGGAACGGTATCACTGCTACATATAGTGCGTCATCAACGACAATAGTTATCAAGACGATATTTCACTGTTCGATCATTTATACTCACATTATCACCATGGCGGAACGGGATCACTGCTACATATAGTGCGTCATCAACGACAATGGTTATCAAGACGATATTTCACTGTTCGATCATTTATACTCACATTATCACCATGGCGGAACGGGATCACTGCTACATATATTGCATCATCAACGACAATGGTTACCAAGACGACATTTTACTGTTAGATCATTTATACTCACAGTATCACCATGGCGGAACGGGATCACTGCTACATATGGTGCGTCATCAACGACAATGGTGACCAAGACGACATTTAACTGTTAAATCATGTATACTCACATTATCACCATGACGGAACGGGATCACTGCTACATATGGTGCGTCATCAACGACAATGGTTACCAAGACGACATTTAACTGTTAGATCATGTATACTCACATTATCACCATGACGGAACGGGATCACTGCTACATATGGTGCGTCATCAACGACAATGGTGACCAAGACGACATTTAACTGTTAGATCATGTATACTGACATTATCACCATGACGAGACGGTATCACTGCTACATATGGTGCGTCATCAACGACAATGGTTACCAAGACGACATTTCACTGTTAGATCATGTATACTGACATTATCACCATGACGGAACGGGATCACTGCTACATATGGTGCGTCATCAACGACAATGGTAACCAAGACGACATTTAACTGTTAGATCATGTATACTGACATTATCACCATGACGAGACGGTATCACTGCTACAAATGGTGCGTCATCAACGACAATGGTTACCAAGACGACATTTAACTGTTAGATCATGTATACTGACATTATTACCATGACGGAACGGGATCACTGCTACATATGGTGCGTCATCAACGACAATGGTTACCAAGACGACATTTAACTGTTAGATCATGTATACTGACATTATCACCATGACGGAACGGGATCACTGCTACATATGGTGCGTCATCAACGACAATGGTTACCAAGACGACATTTAACTGTTAGATCATGTATACTGACATTATCACCATGACGGAACGGGATCACAAATACATAAGGTGAAGCCGTCAAAGTCATTGGTTTACAAGATCATACTGCATCGTCAATAGTTAACAAAGGACCTACTTCTGTTTCTCATTATGTTAACTGTGTATGCTTTGTCTAGGGCATGGACCAGGTTCTGGTAGACTTCAAGGCAGTGTTGAGGTCATACGCATCTCCCCGGATCCTGGCCCAGGGAACACCCTCCTCTATATATAACTTATCGACCTTATACTTCGACGACTTCCTCGGCGCTGCCGACACAGACTACAGCAACAAATCAGCTGTAAGTTGCTGACGTACTTGTGACCAATGAACCAGCGTTGACTGTTGAATCTTTGGTTTAACTTAGACATTAACAGTCGTAGTTCTCAAGTAACCTTTCATAAACGTGCCCACGTGCTGCTACTCTCCGGATATAAACCAATTTTAATAATGTTGAGTGTAATGTCTACAACTTGAGAATGTGAAGATGATACAAAACCTATAGTATAGGGGCCAATGAAGGAATTGGATTTGCATTGATAAGGAAGCAGGTGTTGTTGAACCACAAATGTCGGAAATAGAAAACGGATTTTGACAAATGATAAGCATGGACGTCGGACGTCGACATTACGCCATGGACCCGTGAAGATTCCGGGGTAGAATAGGTCTTCAGCAACCCATACTTGCCGTAAAAGGCGACTATGCTTGTCGTAAAAGGCGACTAACGGGATCGGGTGGTCAGGCTCGCTGACTTGGTTGATACATGTCATCGATCCCAATTGCGTGGATCGATGCTCATGATGTCAGTCACTGGATTGTCTGGTCCAGACTCGATTGTTTTACAGACCGCCGTCATATAGCTGGAATATTGCTGAGTGCGGCGTTAAACAACAAACAAACAAACAAACAAACATTACGCCATGATTTTTTTTATATTGATTTTATTGATTTTTTTTTTATCCGGGGGATTTTCACTTGTTGTACCCACGTTGCTATATAAGTGCAATAATCTTGGACGCGACGTTAAACCCAATTTCGCCTCACCACCTCACTTGTTGTACCAGATGCCTACTGGACCCAGTCTGACATAACCACGTGTTGTGAAAGAGTTGACTTTATTTTAGAGCAATCCTGAAGATCGTAGATTCACTACGTCGATGGCCTTGACCGCTCTGCTGACCATCTGGACCACGCAGGAACAGCACACAGGGAAGATGATCTGGGATGCAGGTAGTGTACGATAGGTCACATTGGGATGCAGTGATATGTTGAACAGCCGGTTTAGTTTAGAATTTGATCAAATGCAATTCGACATTTAAAGTTCTTTTATTTTGTACTGGGGTATAGTTCCAAATCTGAAACGTGTAATCTGTTATGATAATATATGGTAATCCAGATGGTTCTGACTTCAAGATCAAATATACACCCACTCGTCATGCATTGTTGTATTGACGCAATACAGACGGTTTAGTTTATGAGATATGCATTGACGTAATATAGGCGTTATAGTTGATGTGATATGCTTTCACGTAATACAGACGTTATAGTTGATGTCATATGCTTTCACGTAATACAGACGTTATATTTGATGTGATATGTATTGACGTAATATAGGCGTTATTGATGACGTGATATGCTTTCACGTAATACAGACGTTATAGTCGATGAGATATGTATTGACGTAATATAGGCGTTATTGTTGACGTGATATGCTTTCACGTAAGTAAGTCCCGATAGTTTTACTTCGCTACAGTGCGGGCTACAAATATGCAGTAACTGTCGGACAAAACAAAAGTATACACTTGAAATTTGGAATTTACCACAAATTACAAACGTTCTCAAAACGTCATAGAAAACAGTCGCCGAAACTCTACAAACTTAAGTTCGAAAACACAACAACTAGGGTATCAACATCAATCCATCAGCATCGAATAACCATATCCTTTGCTGAATATTTAGCCACCATCAAACATAGGTGTACATTGTCTTTTACCCGGCAGTTTAGAAAGAAAAATTCCATCAATGCAGTGAGCGCAATTACGAGCCGTTCACATTAAAACTTTTGGTTGTGTATGCCACTGAAGTTATCGAAAATGTAACATATTCTGATACTCATAAAGTAACATCAGGTAATAGCCATGAAGTAGGTCGGTTCTTGTGATAATACTGCCCTTTCTATCTGACATCCCTTGTTAACTTTCAACCTTTTGTTATCTCAGTACTTTTGTTGTTCTTACATGTACATATATATGCTCTCGGACTCATAGGGGCAGCCGGGTAGCCAAGTGGTCAAAGCGTTAGCTCGTCACGCCGAAGACCCGGGTTCGATTCCCGACATGGGTACAATGTATGAAGCCCATTTCTGGTGTCCCCCGCCGTGATATTGCTCGAATATTGCTACAAAAGCGGCGTAAAACCATACTCACTCACTCACTCACTCACTCACTCTGCCTCAAAGCATCCATTCACCTGATGAAGGAATAAGCATATACTCCGAAACGTTATGTTCCTCGCAATAAACAAGTTGACATCCATAAATTCTTTTCCCTCTAATGTTTGTTCACAGATATTCCCTTGTCATTGTTTCTAACACCTCCGACCTTTTCTGCTAGATACCCCCGAAGACGTTAAGAAGGCTGTTAACAAGACGGTCACGTGGGTGTACTATCACTCCGACGGCGTGGAACCTGCTGTACCGTGGAACGTCATATTCGCCGGCTCGTTTAAAGGGTTTACGGTCAGTGCAAGATCTGGTCCCACTTGCACAAAGCGATCTTAGCGCTAAGATGATCGTCATTCCAATACTTAAACATAGGCTTACAATAGTCTTAGCGCTAAGATCGCTTTGTGCAAGTGGGCCCTGGTCTCTTCAAAACTAATTGGGGCGGTCGGGAAGCCTAGTGGTTAAAGTGTTCGCTCGTCACGCCGAAGACCCGGGTTCGATTCCCCACATTTGTACAATGTGTGAAGCCCATTTCTGGTGTCACCCTCTGTTATATTGCTATAATATTGCAAAACGCGGCGTAAAACAATACCCACTCACTCATTCAAAACTCACCACTTTTAATCTCTGTAAACCGTTATGTTGTTTTTCGTCATCTTCCCGTGGCAAGAGAGTTAACTGACTGTAAAAGTCCAGTTTCCACCTTTGCCGAACTAGGCTGGTATTAAGGAGTTACATTTTGGCTGGACTAACGAGTCTAGGCATAGTCCAATCAAAATCGCGCTCCGAAATCGAAATCCGGTTCGTAAACTGTCATGCAGATTTCGGTCGATTGCAGGATTTGCAAAACATATGCACCGCTAACTAGTTGTCAGCAGATATTTTCTTAAAAAATTCATATTTTTAATCAAGGTGCTCACATGATTTAATGCTCTTCGCGATGTAAGACTCGTTGTATCACAATATAGAGATCTTGATTATCGATCAGATCGTCTTGACTGGGGGCCGCCGTTTTGTTTGAAGCAAATACGAGAGTGTTACGAGAGGTTGAATCTGATTGGTCCATAGGAGAGGCATAGAAGGGACATAACTGGTAATAGCCACTGGTGGCGCTATGATCGAACCCAGGAATTTCATCATACTTCGGCAAGGGTGGAAACTGGACTTTTAAAGTCAGTTAATTCTCTTGACTCGGGAAGATGTTTTTCGTCTGCTGGAACCATCGTTCGCCCACGGGGTTGTTACCTAAGGGCAATACAGAATAGTGGAATAACTCTTTCCACGCCTGTATGTAGCGTTTTACATGATCTAAATACATACGGGGATTTATAACAGCGGTATCATATAAACACACCCATAACTCTTTATATCCGTGGGGAATCGGGGCGAGATTACAGGTCACCAGCAACATATGCATGTACTATAAGAGGCGACTATATAGGTCGGTGGTCATGCTCGGAGACTTGGTTGATTGCATGTCATCATGTATATCCCAATTGCCTGGATCGATGCTCATGATGTCAATCATTAGTTTACCTGGTCCTGACTCGATTATTTAAAGACCGTCGTCATATAGCTGGATTATCCTGAGTGCGGCCTTAATCAACAAGGAAACAAATATAACGGTTAATTATAGAACTGAGTGAGTGAGGGAGGGAGGGAGCGAGTGCGTGAGCGGTCAGTATCACCTGCACTGTATGAACTGGACCAATACTGAGTTTTGTCAAAACCAAATGAATTTTATTTTTCAAGTTGACATTTTTTGTAGATGGATACGTTCGAATACCCAATGAACAGACTGGAGTTATTTAACGGGACGAAAATAAACAAGACCGATATTCGCAACGAGAAGTTTATCCAGGGAGTGGAAGGGTTCATCCCTGAAGACGAGTATAAAAATATGATGGAGGAACTTCACACCCCAACCGTCAATCCCGGCTACAACATCGACGGCGACTTCTTCCCCTTCTGGTCCTCTGAAGCTTACACCCACGTCATCGCGATGCTGGGCCTGGGGAAATTCATTGGGACTTTGTAATAATGAACAAACATCAATAAAACAACAAATATATGTTTGTTCGACGTTAGAGTAAGTGTCGCCTAAACATATTCATCACGCTAACCAATTTATTTGTTTCTATTATCGTTCTTATGAGGTCACACAGCAGTTCCGGGGCGGTGGTGTAGCCTAATGGTTAAAGCGTTCGCTCGTCACGCCGAAGACCCGGGTTCTATTCCCCGCATGGCTACAATGTGTTAAACCCATTTCTGGTGTTCCCCGCCGTGATATCGCTGAAATATTGCTAAAAAGGCGTAAACCAAACTCACTCACTCACTCACTCACTCACTTACTCAAAATAAACCACGCACACCAGGGCCTTCTCCACTTCACACTTTTGAATTCTGTGGAATATTCCCTGGTCTGTGATATCATTCTCTGACAATAAGGTACATGTAGATCTTGCCATTTTGACACATTACTAAATCACCATTCACGGGGGTTATTTACTGTGTGTTTTGGAATCTAAATATCGTATATTTACTCGAAGAATTGAATTTCAAATAAAGCACATTAGTGATCACGGATATCTGTTTTTCAAGGTTCTCATACCATTGTATTGCGTGAGTATTCGCGTTTAGTAACCTCGTGGTTAAAGCACGTGTTTGGCATGCTGAAAATCAAGGTTCGATTCCATAAATTTTTCACAAATATGAAACCTATTCCCGCCGAGAAGATGACGTAAAAGCTCACTCACTGATCCAAGTTTATTCTGTGTGCTGAACTTGCCGGCAAGTTATGCAGAGTTGCATCCCTTTGTTTGCAGGATTTTCTGCTTGTGGATTTGAAACCTGCTCTTAAATCTCTGGTATGTTGTGATCATGTTGTGATAAAATGCAAACTGCGACGACCTGCACGGCTGCATGCTTTATTATCACAAATATTCAATACAATCAGGCTATAACAGACAACTCATTGTTGTAGAACCAAGGTGTATTTACAGTTAATAATAAACAGGATAAATAAGGTGGGACATCCAAGTAGATATTGCTATATTACATGACATTAAATCAAGTATCAGTTGCTACTACTTAGGTTTGTTTGTTGTTTTTTTGTCTGTTGTTTTTTTGTCTGTTGTTTAACACCGCACTCAGCAGTATTCCAGCTATATGACGGCGGTCAGTAAACAAACGAGTCTGGACCAGACAATCCAGTGATTGAAATCATCAGCATCGATCAACGCAATTGGGATCGATGACATGCATTAACCAATTCAGCGAGCCTGTCCACCCGATTCCGTTAGTCGCCTCTTACGACAAGCATAGTCGCCTTTTACGGCAAGCATGGGTTGCTGAAGACCTATACTTGTGGAAGCGTGTGAGATATTTTGTCAGAGCAATACAAAGTATGCTAACGTTAACGTTCAATGCCTTATTAATATCACCAGGTGTGAAGTGTTTACGGTAATCTGTTACATATGTCACTGCACTTTTCACACATTATATAAGACAAAAATCATACAGTGCCAAGAAAATATTTTATACGAGGTTTGTTAAGGAATGATTGGTTCACATGAAGTCCATCCTTTGTTTAAGTAATCTACCGTTCTCAGACCAGCGGTCAAGTGTTAGTTAACACAGTTGACCCCTACTTGTACGCTACCGCTTCGGGGGCGGATTACCGACTTTGAATGTCGCCACTACAGAGTCAGTGTAACCAATGACAACACTCCAAAACATAAATATCGGAAAGATTTGCATGATCAAAAACACATCGTACATGTACAAGCAAATGTTCAGCGAAATACTGTTTCATGAATATCGTACATGTTCATACACATGTTAAGCGAAATACTGTGTATATATGAATACGATCGGATAACAGCTGTTTTCAATATACACATATCTGTCATAGGAGCATGTTACATAGATACACATCAAACAAATGTATTAGTGGCGACACATTTCCCTGGCTTGTATGTCGGTGTCATGGGAAGCAATAAACATATTGTTTCCCTTGCTGTCAGAATACAAGCCCATTCACACTCTAGACGCACACATCGTATAACTTCACTAATCTCATCGGAATGGCTGATTGTCATTAAGGATAATTAGCATTTGTATATAAAGGGGGGTAATAAAAGCGGAGAGGGTAGCACAGTCGTCCACGACGCCGCAATTCGCTGTGCAGGATTGCCGCCCCTGGCGCTGGAAATAAATGATGGTGGTTCGAATTCCCAATTCGTCCTGATTGTTTCGTGGTAAACGTCTGAGACCTGCATCACTTTGGGCTTTCCTCCCGCATCAAGCTGACAGGCCGTGATATAACTGGAATATACTTTCAAATTGGCATTAAGTCCTTCTCACTCACCCACTGGTTATACACGAACATGTCACAAAATAAATAGATATGACACAGGAGTCGCTGGATCTCGAACACCAACGCATCTGACACCGCGGGTTATACACTGACTCCCTACGCATCCCTGCACAACTTGGCCTGCCCGTTGATGACAGATGCCTATATCTTACACACCTGTGGGTGAGAAACCCATTTGAGATAAATGATATCAAACATATGTGTGAGATCGAATTCCAGGCCCGAGAAACAGATAACTGCACTCGTGCCTATCAGATACCATTTATCTTACACAGCGTTGTTTCAAAGACCCGTGAAGATCCGGGGTAGAATAAGTCTTCAGCAACTCATGCAAGCCGTAAAAGGCGACTATGCTTGTCGTCCGAGGCGACTAACGGAATCAGGTGGTCAGATCGCTGACTTGGTTGATGCATGTCATCGTGTCCCAACTGCGTGGATCGATGCTGATGATGTCAATCACTGGATTGTCTGGTCCAGACTCGATTATTTACAGACCGCCGTCATATAGCTGGAATATTGCTGAGTGCGGCGTTAAACAACAAACAAACAAAGAACCAAATCAAAGCGTATCTAACTCGCTTTCGCTCGTGACATACGTTTCGAAACAATCCGCTGTAAGATAAATGATATCTAAGAGACACTCTTGTAGTAATCTCTATTTATCATCCAAAACTGGCTCCCACAGGAGATATCGCTTGTGTGAGATCAAGCGATATCTATACTGTAGATATCGCTGCAATGAAATTGCATCACAATGCTTTGCAGACCATTGTGACGTCATTGGTTACCATGATGTCACAATCAAATGACATCACTAATGGCTCTGCTACTGAAGCTGTTAGCAGTACTTTTTACACTTAAGACACTGCTTATTACTTTCTACAAACTGAAAAAGTTGGAAGAATGATGTTGGATGATAAATAAAATCTCACCCTCGTGTCTTTTGATATCAAATATATCAACACTCGTTGATAAAAGTGGCAAAATCCTCGGCAAGCCTCGGAATTTTTCCACTTTTATCAACTCGTGTTGATATATTTGATATCAAAAGACACTCGGGTGAGATTCTCTATTTATCATCCAAAACTGGCTCCCACAGGAGATATCGCTTTGATTAGATCAAGCGATATCTACACTGTAGATATCGCTGCAATGAAATTACATCACAATGCTTTGCAGACCATTGTGACGTCACTGGTTACCATGACGTCACAATCAAATGACATCACTTATGGCTCTGATACTGAAGCTGTTAGCAGTACTTTTTACACTGAAGACACTGCTAATTACTGTCTACAAATTTAAAAAGTTGGAAGAATGATGTTGGATGATAAATAAAATTTCACCCTCGTGTCTTTTGATATCAACACTTGTTGATAAAAGTGGAAAAAATCCTCGGCAAGCCTCGGAATTTTTCGACTTTTATTAACTCGTGTTGAGATTCTCTATATCATCATCAAATAGGGAACTGAAGGATATCTCAGTTGTATATGGTCTGTGTTTTGACACAGGATAAACCATTCGATCAATGAACTACTTAGGGGTACCAATGTTGACGTTACTTAAGCGACGTCGTACCACGGAGAACGTGTAGCCACTGGTGTGTGGACCAGGTGATATCCCCTTACATCACACACTGGGGTTTTGTTAACGGTTTATTTTATTTGTATATGTTAGGTAATTCTACATTTCGATGTTTAGTATTCGCCCTAATGGACATACATAGAGTGCGCGCCGCTTGGACACGGAGAAGATGAATGTCCTCCTGATAGTGGTACTCCTATCCGTGGCAGCGATGTGCCTTGGAGGTACGTACTAATATTTTAAAACTTGAGATACAAAATGAACGGCAATGAGACAGATTTGGCCAGAATGAGTTTGGCAAATATCTATAATACCGCTTTGAACAGCATTTTATTTACGTCACAGCGTGTCAACCCAAAGTGATGCATTTATTTTACTTCTGTGAAATCCTTGAGTGCGAGAATGGTGCTGACAAACCTGGAAACATGATTAGGGCGAATTTGGGATTCAAACCCACGATGAAGCCGAGGTTTCTGGCACTCCAAATAGGACGTAGCTCTACACATTCCGACTCAGACGACTATGCCATCGTGCCCCTACTCTGTATCTAAGTTTCAGCACATTAACCATTAAGGAAACGATAGCTGACGGTGCTTACATCATTGTTTTAGCAATAAGGCCAGAACCCCTGTCGATGGCCTTGCACGTATTAACCAACAAATTTCCCTAACGTGCATGGGAATGACAGGTGAGAACAGATCTCCTTCTATATTCGTACGAAGCACATGCATGGATTGGGAGGTCAGGTTCTGTGACTTGGTTAATGGTGAAGTACGTTGGTGAGGTACGTTGGTGAGGTGCGTTAGTGAGGTACGTTGGTGAGGTGCGTTAATGAGGTACGTTGGTGGGATACCTTGCTCGCATTATCACAGGTTAACTGGTCCAGGCTCGATTATTACAGGCCGCTTTCGTGGAGCTGCTCGATTAAGAGTTAAACAGCAACCAACATAATGACATGACTACAGATAAACTTTGACGTCATAGGAAGATAAACTTTGAGGTCATAGGAAAAATGACTTCAGATAAACTTTGAGGCCATAGAAATAATGACTATAGATACACTTTTGGGTCATAGGAATAATGACTACAGATAAAGTTTGAGGTCATAGGAATAATGACTACAGATAAAGTTTGAGGTCATAGGAATAATGACTACAGATAAACTTTTAGGTCATAGGAATAATGACTACAGATAAACTTTTAGGTCATAGGAATAATGACTACAGATAAACTTTGAGGTCATAGGAATAACGACTACAGATAAACTTTGAGGTCATAGGAATAATGACTACAGATAAACTTTGAGGTCATAGGAATAATGACTACAGATAAACTTTTAGGTCATAGGAATAATGACTACAGAGAAACTTTGAGGTCACAGGAATAATGACTACAGATAAAATTTGAAGTCATCGGAATAATGACTACAGATAAACTTTGAGGTCATAGGAATAATGACTACAGATAAACTTTGAGGTCATAGGAATAATGACTACAGATAAACTTTGAGGTCATAGGAATACAAAATATATAGGAAAGGAATACTGATATATAGCAGCACACTTTCGAGAGAATCAATACCGTATTCACAGTATTAAGCGCACTGCTCCAATAATCGTCCCTTGATCAATTTCTAAAGGGATCTGTAAATAATCATCATAAACGCCCCCTTCTAAGAGTGGCAGTTTACATGACATATTTGCTTGTGTAAACAGAAGCACTATATAACTATAAAACTGCCTAGTTTTAAACTATTATCGATTATTCATGGATGTCTTAACTATTTCTGTTCCGTATCGCTCGATCTGTGTAGGGTCATAATATGCGCCCCGCTTTGTCAATTTTTCAAACGCCCGGGGTGCTAATTACATGAACACGGTATATCTACATCAATAGCTTGAAAATCATTGCAAGATAATGAATTATATGCTTGTCGAGCTGCCTGCAGGTGATTTGCTTAAAATACATGTATGTATAATAGAAGCATTGTACACATACATTGTACACATACATTGTACACATACATTGTACACATACATTGTACACATACACTGTATATTAGTGAATGCATACTATTCCCTGTATAGTGAATACATATTTCATTACTATGGTAATGGTGAATATGCAAAGGGTTCTGTCTTCTATATTCATACGTTGCATATATATTACATGCATAATTGATGTACATCATGCAGATATTAGAGAGACAGAAGTGAATATTAGAAGCATTGTACAATCATATTTGTACAAAATGTTGGTAATGAATTGGGGGTGGGGGGTGGGGATGGGGGTGGGGATGGGGGTGGGGGTGGGGGGGGGGGGGGGGGGGCATCATGCTTGGCAGCGGAAGTATTGACTTCAATATGTTTTCACAAAACAAAAACTAAACGATATGTTTTTTTCTTTCGTAGCAAGAAACAACATAGGCTTGGAATTCATCGTCGGTTTCCTTGACAACGAAGAGACAGGGGCCACCTTGGATTTAGAGATATTTGTCACCACAATCTCCAATACACCGGCGAACGTCACCGTGACGGCTCCATCCTATAACCCATCCCTTCTCCGTGAGACGGTCGTCACTAGGGGAACCGTCTCTAAACTAACCCTGCCATCGTCACTTCGGGGCACAGGCTCAGCCGCAGAAAATAAAGGAGTCTTGATAGAATCCACGGAAGAAATAACGGTGTACTGTGTCAACAAGGAGACATACTCCACCGACGCATTTGTAGCGGTGCCGACGGAGGCGTTGGGTACTGCATACTACATCATGACGTACCGGACCAACCCCGCAATGATGTTCGTAGGGACAGAGGACTCTACCGACGTCCACATCGTACTGCCGTCCCCGCCGTCGCAGCCAATCAACATCGTTTTTGGCGGCGTCACGTACATTGATGGAGATGTCCTCAAGCTTCGCATCAATCGTTTCGAAACGGTTCATCTTTATCAAGAACAGACAAATGTGGATTTCACGGGAACTTTGATCCAAGCTAATAAACCCGTCGCAGTGTTTTCTGGCAACAGGAAAATTCCGGTTCCGATTCTAGCCGGAAGTGGCGACCACGTGGTAGAGCAGATGTCGCCGATCAATACATGGGGCAAGGAGTTTGTCTACGTCAGTACTCCAGACAGAACAACGGGGGACCTGGTTCGAATCCTGGCCGCTGAGGCGTCCACTATAGTGACTATCACTGGGGTCGGCAGCGTCACTATCACAGCTGCCGGTAATTGCCATTTGATATAGCCCAGTTCACATGTTTTATTTTTACCGAATTAGGGCGATAACATTGGCCTGAGCAACAGTACAAGTTATTAGAACATCCGATGTAGAAGTTGTAACACTAGTTTGTTTATACCACATACATGTCTCTATATATGTAAAATAAACTACACGAACATGGCGATTGTTCAAGTGAAACGGACATTTCTGGATATCAGTCACTTATATTTACCTGAAAGGTTCCATTTCATAGATCGGTAAGTACGTAGATATATAACTGGATGGATTGATGGGCGGACGGACGGATTGATGATGATGATGATGATTGATGGATAGTGGATGATGGAGAGTAGTGGATTGATGGATGGGTGTAAGATGGATGGATAGTGGAGGATGGATTGATGGATAGAGGAGGTGGGATGGATGGGTGTAAGATGGATGGGTGTAAGATTGATTGATGAAATATAGATGGTTAGTGGAGGATGGATAGTGGAGGAGGGATGGATTGGTGTAAGATGGATGGATGAAATATGGATGGATAGTGGAAGATGGAGAGTAGGGGATGGATGTAAGATGGAGAGATGAAATATGGATGGAATGGAGTATGGAGTGGAAGATGGATGGATGGATGTAAGATGGATGATGGTAATGATGGATGTACAGTATGGATTGGTGATGGTGATGGATGGATGGTACAATAAGAATGCCTTTTTTCCAGGAGGGTTCTTCGAGCTAGGAACTAATTCAGGAGAAGTGAAGTCCATCACTGCCTCGAAGCCAGTACTGGTGGGTGTGTTCAGTAAAACCGATGCCGTTTCGGATCCGAACGGCGGGGACCCTTCTATGTACCTGCTGCCCCCTACAGCGCAATACGCCCCCAACTACGTCTTCAGTACAGTAGAGACGCCAAGCGGCAACTTCACAAACTACCTCAGCATCGTCGTCAATGTCGACGCGACATCGGGTCTCAGATTAGACAATGTTGCCATCGATAGTCTGGGCATAACATGGATCAATGTGCCAGATTCAGCAGGTAAGGTATCAGTAGTAGTCGTAGGAGTGGTAGTGGCAGCTGTCGTGGTAGTGGAGGTGGTGGTTGTAGTAGAAGCATTGGTGACAGTAGTATTAGTTATATATAGCAGCAGCAGAAGGTCTTCTAGAAATAGAAAAAGTAAATGCAGTAGTAGCAGCAATATTAATATCAGTTTGTTTGTTGTTTTAGGCCACATTCGGCAACATTTCAATTATATGACGGCGGTTATTAATATCAATAGCACTAGCAGTAGCAGTGCACGTAGTAATAGTAGTAGTAGTAGAAGTAGTAGTAGTAGGAGGAAGAGGAGGAGTAGTGGAAGTAGTAGTAGTAGTGGTGGTAGTAGTAGTAGTAGTGGTAGAAACAGAAGTAGTAGAAGTAGTTGTTGTAGTAGTAGTAGTAGTTGTTGTAGTAGTAGTAGTAGCAGCAGAAGTAGTAGTTGTAGTCGTAGTCGTAGTCGTAGTAGAAGTAGTAGTTGTAGCAGCAGAAGTAGTAGTAGTAGTGGTAGTAGTAGTAGTAGTAGCAGCATAAGTAGTAGTAGTAGTAGTAAGTAGTACTAGTAGTAGTAGCATAAGTAGAAGTAGTAGTAGTAGTAATAAGTAGTAGTATTCGCAGTAGTAGCAGAAGTAGTAGTAGTAGCAGTAGTAGTAGTAGTAGCAGAAGTAGTAGTAGTACTAGTAGTATTCGCAGTAGTAGCAGAAGTAATGAAAGGCATGGAAAGCATTGTACTTAATGCACCAAACCGTTAAGGACGCACTGTTCATCCTTTGTAGCTCAGGGCGTTTCCGATACCAATCATAGCACAAGTCCACTTCTAACTTAACAGTTGTCTCACTCGACATTGTCTGTGGGACAGAGAGGAACCTAAAGTCTGGTCCGGCTTTATGTTGTAGATCTGGTTGCCGGAACTGTCAGCGTCAACCCCGGCAATCACGACGTGTACCACGAGGACCCCACTGTTGTCTTCATGGGCCTGTGTACCGGGGTAGCGCCCTTTACGTCCTACGCCTACTCGTCAGGGATGAGACTTGCCTTAATCAATGAGGTACGTGGGGTGTGTGAGTGACTTTGGTTTCACTTCCATTCTTGGAAGAAGTGAGTAGATATAAAGGTTACCAGAGACAAGCTGTTATAACTTCAATACGATACAATGTAGATCGTGTGAACACTGTGAGTGAGTGAGTGAGTTGGGTTTAACGCCGCTTTTAACAGTATTCCAGTTATATCACGGCGTGTCAGCTTAATGTGGGAGGGTAGCCCGAAGTGATGCAGGTCTCAGACGTTTACCACTTCGGTGAAACCCACGAGCACGGGTACGGTGCTGACAAACCTAGAAACATAATCGGGGGAACCGGGATTCGAACCCACAATCATAGGTTTCTGGCGTACCCAAGGGACGCAACTCTGCACAGCGAATCGCAGCGCCTTAAACGACTGGGCCACCGTGCCCCCTAACGCCGCTTTCAACAGTATATCGGTTATATCATAGCGTGTCTTATTGATGTGGAGGAAAGCCCGTAGTGATGCAAATGGTTGCCATTTTGGTGAAACCCACGAATAGGGATTGGTTCTGACAAATCATGAAACAACCAAGGCCCATGGAATTCGAATCCATAAAATGTCTGGTAAGCCTGAGGGATTCAGCTCGACACAGCCAACTGCGGCACCTTAAGACGACTTGGCCACCCTTGTCCAGATGAAGGTGGGCATTGAAGAACAAGGTTAGAATTGTTGATCACCCCGGAGCCATCAAGCTGAGAAATATGTTTTCGAATAATTGCCTACGGCCGTCTAACTTTCAATCTTCTCAGATCCATAGGGGACACGGGTGGCCCAGTCGTCTAAGGCGCCGCGATTCGCTCTGCAGAGGTGCGTCCCTTTGGCACGCCAGAAACCTATGATTGTGGGTTCGAATCCCGGTTCGCCCCGATTATGTTTCTAGGTTTGTCAGCACCATACCTGTGCTCGTGGGTTTCACCGAAGTGGTAAACGTCTGAGACCTGCATCACTTCGGGCTTTCCTCCCACATTAAGCTGACACGCCGTGATTTAACTGGAATAATGTTAAAAGCGGCGTTAAACCCAACTCACTCACTCACTCTCAGATCCATATCACATATTTGTGCAAGACCTGAACCGATAAACTCCAATGAACAACATCATCATGACTATATTTTCTGTGTCCTAACATGTTTCTGTGTCGTAATATGTCAAGCCATATTGACACACTTAGGTATTCTGTCCCTCGTTTAGGCCTGTTCAACTACAAGTGTCGTAGCCGGTGATGTCGTGGACAATGACTGTGACGGTCGAATTGACGAAGAAGAAGCCAATGGACTCGGTAATTTGAACATTGATGATTAAAGAAATATTAATACGGAAATGTGTTTATCATTTGAATATGTGAGAGCCTGGTGGTTCTGTAAATGGCTGATAATAATGTAGCATCGACACAGCTTGACGATTGTTGGTATGACAATATGAGTGAGTGAGTATGGTTTTACGCCGCTTTTAGCAATATTCTAGCAATATCACGGCGGGGGACATGAGAAATGGGCTTCAAAAATTGTACCCATGTCGGGAATCGAACCCGGTTCTTCGGCGTGACGAGCTAACGCTTTAACCACTAGGCTACCCGACTGCCCCGTATGACAATATGAAATAGTAAATATAACTTATTGATACTCAATGTATTTTGATCCTACATGAGGTAAAATGTTTAAAAAGCGTTCCTCTGCTCTGTGCGTATGCACTGACAAATATGTACTAAATAGATAATATAAATGACGAGTGTTAGAGATTCATTACTCGGTGAGGCTTACTGACGACAAGTCACATATTGTTGTTTTCACCGCACTCAGCAGTATTCTAAATATATGATGGTGGTCTGTAGATCATCGAGTCTGGACCAGACGATCCAGTGATTGACATCATGAGCATCGATCCACGCAGTTGGGATACGATAACATGCATCAACCAAGTCAGCGAGCCTGACCACCCGATCCCGTTAGTGGCCTCTTACGACAAGCATAGTCGCTTTTTACGGCAAGCATGGGTTGCTGAAGACCTATTCTATCCCGGGACTTAACGGGTATTACTAACGACTAAAGGGAAAGGTGTCAATATATTGTGATATGATATACTTGATGTTTATTGCGTACTTATATATAAAAAAACATATATAATATAATAATACAATTTATCCGACATGACTGAACTTGTAAACTGGTAGAATTATGGTGTGTGCTCCGACCTATACTTTAAAGAAAACACCAGCTATGTACAACAATATGACATCACTACCTGTCATTCAGGGATCGTATTTACATATATGAATCATGTACGTCATCAGAAATCAGTCTGACTATCTGTGTATTGGTATTTGTTTATATCCGAAATGCAGATAATAAACGTCGCCGTTGCGTGTGATTTTGCGTCAGTCATGACGAACTGAAACATATTATATATATTCCTCAATCCTTGTTACTATAGTCTTTTCTGAACAGTATGTGTCAAAGTATGCAACGAATAGTCAAATTGATCTATCGAAATTAGCGAAATTGCTACACAGTGTAAAATTTGAATTTAGATTTGTTTACATTTTTAAACCAGTACAGTTTGCCGAGCACATCGTTCGTTTTCACACCTGATTTATTTGGCTTGATTTCAGCGAGACCATTTCCATATTAGTGACAAATACAATTTGTCATTTAATCCATGAAATGTATGATGGAATTCAGGGATGGATCTAAATCAGCTGAGTGTGAAATAGACATAGACAGCATACCTGAAACATGATTATAAAATAACAGTTACTTTGGAGTTGGTGATTTTTCTAAACATGCTGAACGTTTCTCCAGTTAATTGTTTCAGAATGTTCATTGGCAATGTGATAAATTTTAGATTCCCCTGATCACATGTGGTATATTCGGAATTAAATTACCCGACATTTAGACTTCAAACTATTCACCAAATAACGCCGTGAATGGTTACTTGGTACAATGTAAACAATTTACAGATACCATGAAGAGTAATTTTGCTTTGTCTAAAATTATTGCGGAGGATATCACACAACAGAGACATTCCGGCGGAATTGATAACTGTGAATTTTTTTTTATGGAAGTGGTGTAGTTCCAGTTTTCTTCAAGGTTAGGGTTAAAGAAAAAGGACTTGTCCCTGTGGCGTCTAGGGAGCTCCTGACTTACGAGTTTCTTGAGGGGTTATATGAATACGGATGATTTGCTATGGGAGTTGCATTTCTCGATGTAGCTAAATACCATTCTAACCATACAGTTCGATTCCAGATGATGACGGCGATGGGTCCATTGACGAAGACTTAGCAGCTCCCAGGCGAGGTGGGTAAATTTTGTTATGATCTTTATGATGAACAATACAAGCTGTTATAATCTCAATATGACACAATGTCGATCTCGTGAGTTGGCTTCAACGCCGCTTTAAGCACAAGTAAAACGTTGGGGGAAGTATTTGGTTTCACTCAGTGTAGCTGATCGTAGCTATTCGACATGAGGAACCAACAGCAATTTAACTACTTACATATGTAGAATATGTGAAGTCAATTTCTGGTGTGACCGGCCGTGCTTGAATATTGCTAAAAGCAGCGCAAAACATACTCGCTGTTTCTAAAACGCCATGAGGTGTGCGCGTCATTTTTTCCTCGGTCAATGAATCAGTATGCTTTCGAAAGTCATTACGTGTGTTCTTTAATTGACAGTTAATGGAGGGTTCAGCCTTTGGACATCTTGGACCACATGTACAGTCAGCTGTGGAGGGAACGGAACTATTTCCAGGAACCGGAACTGTGACAATCCTGCACCTGCGCAGAACGGCTTGCCGTGTCAAGGGAGCCTGTCCGAGACTGAAGTCTGTGTGTCCCCAATAGCTGATTGTCCTAGTAAGTTATAAATAGAATATGACCCTGGGCCCACCTCCACAATCAAGTTTTACCGCTGTGACATTTTCAGTCATAGTTAAAAAATAGGGTGCTATGATCGTCGCTGTACAATCGCATATTATTATTATGATTTTTATTATGATGTACACGTGACTCCCAATCAGGAAATCAGCTATTGTATTGTTAAATGAAATGTTATCCCAGTTGTAACTAATATTGATGTTATGTTTCATCCATACACAAGTCATTTAATATAATCAGAATAGTTCCATAGAAACGACTATGAATGCTGCGATAACAATAGGATAATATGTTATTCCTGTAATCGTAGTAACTTGGGTTTCTGTGTTAATATTTTACATTGTTGTGCAAAAAACAGTTCACAGCATGCATCAAGCTCTATGCAACTTTAAACATTTATTTGTATTAATTTAAACGTTATAATAATTAAACCGCCTCCGTGGTCAAGTGGTGGAGCGTCCGCCCGGAAAGAGGAAGGTCGGGGGCTGGGTAATCGGCCGCATCATTACAAAAATACGTAAAAAATTGGTACATGTTGTTACACTGACTAGTACTCGACATTGAGCGTCTAAAACAAGGACTGGTCGGCACATAGTCTGTATATTGTGTCCGAGTGAGGTTTACATGTTAAAATGCGGCATTGTGTCTCAGTGGGCTAGCACTATAAAATCAGCATTAGTGCGGTCTGGTACAGGCACACACACACACACACACACACACACACACACACACACACACACACACACACACACACACGCACACGCACACGCACACATGCACACACACACATGCACGTCACTATAATAATCTTGGACGCGACGTTAAACCCCATTTCACCTCACCTAATAATAATAAATAAATGTGACCCGTGAAGATCCGGGGTGGAATAGGTCTTCAGCAACCCATGCTTGCCGTAAAAAGGCGACTATGCTTGTCGTAAGTGGCGACTAACGGGATCGGGTGGTCAGGCTCGCTGACTTGGTTGATGCATGTCATCGTATCCCAATTGCTTGGATCGATGCTCATGATATCAATCACTGGATTGTCTGGTCCAGACTCGATTATTTACAGACCACCGTCACATGGCTGGAATATTGCTGAGTGCGGCGTTAAAAAACAACAACAAAAATATATAATGATGAAAGATGCACCATTGCTGATACAGAGAAAGAGCATCAGTATTAACATGCCAATCATCAGTGTCACCTCGGCGAGACATTCTTATAATTAGCGACGCACTCGTGTTATATTAATGTGTCATACATGTGCATATCAGTTGCATCTCATCACAGTCGGCAAATATGGCTGGTATGCATTTTTTGGTTTAATGTTTTGAGATTTGAGGCATGTATGTTGTCCCACTAGTTGAGGCAATTATTGCAATCTCAATAATCAGTATCCTTGACTGAGGGCATTTCGACTTATTTTCCATTCTTAGACAAATGCAGCTGAATGTCACGACTAGGATGGGATTATGTGTCCTGATAGGACACGTGGCTTTTCACATGTGTAACGCATGCCGGTACAATTCTAATTTGACATGACTTGTGTGCCAGGGTTAAATAGGTTTGAGCTATCTGTTCTTTGAACACACGAGTACACCTGTTGGTCCACAGCACTAGTATTTCGTAAAAATATGTCATTGTGTTACTTTTTCGTAAAGTACAAATGCGTTGTGACAATTGTTCAGCAATGGCCATGTGGAACGTTGGAAGCGTCTGTCAGCTGGCCCGTGAAGATCCGGGGTAGTATAGGTCTTCAGCAACCCATGCTTGCCGTAAAAGGCGACTATGCTTGTCGTAAGAGGCGACTAACGGGATCGGGTGGTCAGGCCCGCTGTCTTGGTTGATGCATGTCATCGATCCCAGTTGTATGAATCGATGCTCATGATATCAATACCTGGATTGTCTGGTCCAGACTCGATTATTTACAGACCGCCGTCATATAGCTGGAATATTGCTGAGTGAGGCGTTAAACAACCAACCCACCAACGTCAGTCATCTGCAGCCAACCTGCCGAGCCGCTGTCCCAGTGTCAAGTCATCAACACATAGTATTCTTATTTAACGTACCAGACACATCAATGCCCGACTGGACCCGTGAAGATTCCGGGGTAGAATAGGTCTTCAGCAACCCATGCTTGCCGTAAAAGGTGACTATGCTTGTCGTAAAAGGCGACTAACGGGATCGGGTGGTCTGGCTCGCTGACTTGGTTGATGCATGTCATCGATCCCAATTGCATGGATCGATGATCATGACATCAATCACTGGATTGCCTGGTCCAGACTCGATTATTTACAGACCGCCGTCATATAGCTGGAATATTGCTGAGTGCGGCGTTTAACAACAAACAAACAAACAAACAAACAATGCCCGACTGCCACGTTTTGTGTCACCACATCTTTATGGTCCGCCTGCAGTATCACACACTTCATCCACAGAGTCGTATGATTCAGTTTGGTTTGGTTCATTGTTTAACGCCGCATTCAGCAATATTCCAGCGTGTAAATCGAGTCTGGACCAGACAATCCAGTGTATGACATCATCAGCATCGATCCGAGCAATTGGGATCGATGACATGCACCAACCAAGTCAGCGAGCCTGACCACCCGATCCCGTTAGTCGCCTCTTACGACAAGCATAGTCGCCTTTTTACGGCAAGCATAGGTTGCTGAAGACCTATTCTACCCCGGATCTTCACGGGTCCATATGATTCAGTGGTCACTCGGCCATTCTCTAAGTTTATTAACAGGCCGCTGATCCGCTCATGACCCTGTTGTGCAAAGGAGAGATGTTATGGTGTCTCCGGTGTCGAGTTGTGGTTGATGCCTTGTTCTTGGCATGTACAATTTGATGGCATGTAATGCTGAAAGGATATTGCAGTCACCTGCTACGAAGGCTCCTCAAAAAGGTTCTAAGTCTTACAAACAAAGCCATCAATTGTGAAAGTGTTTGTATTTTTTTCTTTAACATTATCTCCTTTTTTTCAATACACTTCTCATTTCGATAGTGAAGCTTTTCAGTTCCAGTAAGGAAGAGGTTTTCTGAAGCCACCCTGAAAAATCAATTCACAGCAGCTTTGAGGTCATCGTTGTCGTCATAGCTCTTTCCACGAAGGTGTTCTTTCAGTTTAGGAAACAGGTGGAGTATGGCGTGTGGAGAAGCTCTTCAAACCCACATTGTCGCCTTTTGCGAGTCGAGGAGTGTGATTAGAGGCATTGTCATGAAGTAGTAGAACTCCAGCAGACAGCATTCGTCGCCACTTTTCTTTGGTAGAATCTCTCTAGCGATTAGGCGAATCAGCATAGTAGGCAATCAGTAAGTAATCAGCAAGGATCACATCCTTTGCATCTCAGAATACAGTGGCCATAACTTTCTTCACTTATCTTGAAGACTTGAATTTCTTTGATCCCGGAAAAGTGGAATGGTGCCATTCCATGGATTGACGTTCATAGTGGTAGACCAATGTTTCATCACCCGTTTCTAATCTCTTTTTGAATTTGACGAAATTCTCCTCAGTTAGCTCTAAATTGTCTCTGGCAATGTCAGTCCTTTTTTCCTTAAGATCAAAATTTAGACACTCTTGCACCCAACAAGCAGATAAATGTAAATGTTCATGAATAATAGGCTCAATGGATCAATGGCTTAGACTTGTCTTCCTCAAGTTCAGCAATAGTAATACGTTTGAGTGACTGTATGCGTTTTTCTGTCTCCTTGATTGAATCTTCATTGATGGAAGTTTAGGGATCCAGACCTTGGGTCATCACCAAGGCTTGTTCTCCCAGCCTTAAACATATCTTACCCCGTTCAACAGTGGAATAGCTGGGGCACTTATCATCATACTTTTGTGACATGCGGTCATGAATTTCTTTGGGAGTACTTTTCTCTGATGACTGTTCGGTACTTAATTTCTGTGTCCATTTGGAAACCTATCAGGTTTAACTGCCTGATGATGTGTTATAGATGATGACACGGCATCGTTGATCATGTTTTATAGACGGAGCGCGGTATCATTGATGATGTGTTATAGACGGAGCACGGTATCGTTGATGATGTGTTATAGATGACGCACGGTATGGTGGCTGATATGTTGTAGATGACGCACTGTTGGTTGCTGATATGTTGTAGATGACGCACGGTATCGTTTCTGATATGTTGTAGATGACGGACGGTATGGTTGCTAATATGTTGTAGATGACCCACGGTATCGTTGCTGATATGTTGTAGATGGCGCACGGTATCGTTGCTGATATGTTGTAGATGACGCACGGTATCGTTGATGACATGCTATAGATGACGCACGATATCGTTGATGACATGTTATAGATGGCGCACGGTATGGTTGCTGATATGTTGTAGATGACGCACGGTATCGTTGATGACATGTTATAGATGACGCACGATATCGTTGATGACATGTTATAGATGGCGCACGGTATGGTTGCTGATATGTTGTAGATGACGCACGGTATCGTTGATGACATGTTATAGATGACGCACGGTATGGTTGCTGATATGTTGTAGATGACGCACGGTATCGTTGATGACATGTTATAGATGACGCACGATATCGTTGATGACATGTTATAGATTGCGCACGGTATGGTTGCTGATATGTTGTAGATGACGCACGGTATCGTTGATGACATGTTATAGATGACGCACGATATCGTTGATGACATGTTATAGATGGCGCACGGTATGGTTGCTGATATGTTGTAGATGGCGCACGGTATCGTTGATGACATGTTATAGATGACGCACGGTATGGTTGCTGATATGTTGTAGATGACGGACGGTATGGTTGCTGATATGTTGTAGATGACGCACGGTATCGTTGATGACATGTTATAGATGGCGCACGGTATGGTTGCTGATATGTTGTAGATGACGCACGATATCGTTGATGACATGTTTTAGATGACGCACGATATCGTTGATGACATGTTATAGATGGCGCACGGTATGGTTGCTGATATGTTGTAGATGACGCACGGTATCGTTGATGATATATTATAGATGACGCACGGTATCGTTGCTGATATGTTGTAGATGACGCACGGTATAGTTGCTGATATGTTGTAGATGACGCACGGTATGGTTGCTGATATGTTGTAGATGACGCACGGTATCGTTGATGACATGTTATAGATGACGCACGATATCGTTGCTGATATGTTGTAGATGACCCACGGTATGGTTGCTGATATGTTATAGATGGCGCACGGTATGGTTGCTGATATGTTGTAGATGACGCACGGTATAGTTGCTGATATGTTGTAGATGACCCACGGTATGGTTGCTGATATGTTATAGATGGCGCACGGTATGGTTGCTGATATGTTGTAGATGACGCACGGTATTGTTGCTGATATGTTGTAGATGACGCACGGTATGGTTGCTGATATGTTATAGATGGCGCACGGTATGGTTGCTGATATGTTGTAGATGACCCACGGTATGGTTGCTGATATGTTATAGATGACGCACGGTATGGTTGCTGATATGTTTTAGATGACGCACGGTATAGTTGCTGATATGTTATAGATGGCGCACGGTATGGTTGCTGATATGTTGTAGATGACGCACGGTATCGTTGATGACATGTTATAGATGACGCACGATATCGTTGCTGATATGTTGTAGATGACCCACGGTATGGTTGCTGATATGTTGTAGATGGCGCACGGTATGGTTGCTGATATGTTGTAGATGACGGACGGTATGGTTGCTGATATGTTGTAGATGACGCACGGTATCGTTGATGACATGTTATAGATGGCGCACGGTATGGTTGCTGATATGTTGTAGATGACGCACGATATCGTTGATGACATGTTTTAGATGACGCACGATATCGTTGATGACATGTTATAGATGGCGCACGGTATGGTTGCTGATATGTTGTAGATGACGCACGGTATCGTTGATGATATATTATAGATGACGCACGGTATCGTTGCTGATATGTTGTAGATGACGCACGGTATAGTTGCTGATATGTTGTAGATGACGCACGGTATGGTTGCTGATATGTTGTAGATGACGCACGGTATCGTTGATGACATGTTATAGATGACGCACGATATCGTTGCTGATATGTTGTAGATGACCCACGGTATGGTTGCTGATATGTTATAGATGGCGCACGGTATGGTTGCTGATATGTTGTAGATGACGCACGGTATAGTTGCTGATATGTTGTAGATGACCCACGGTATGGTTGCTGATATGTTATAGATGGCGCACGGTATGGTTGCTGATATGTTGTAGATGACGCACGGTATTGTTGCTGATATGTTGTAGATGACGCACGGTATGGTTGCTGATATGTTATAGATGGCGCACGGTATGGTTGCTGATATGTTGTAGATGACCCACGGTATGGTTGCTGATATGTTATAGATGACGCACGGTATGGTTGCTGATATGTTGTAGATGACGCACGGTATAGTTGCTGATATGTTATAGATGGCGCACGGTATGGTTGCTGATATGTTGTAGATGACGCACGGTATCGTTGATGACATGTTATAGATGACGCACGATATCGTTGCTGATATGTTGTAGATGACCCACGGTATGGTTGCTGATATGTTGTAGATGGCGCACGGTATGGTTGCTGATATGTTGTAGATGACGCACGGTATAGTTGCTGGTATGTTGTAGATGACGTACGGTATAGTTGCTGATATGTTGTAGATGACGGACGGTATGGTTGCTGATATGTTGTAGATGACGCACAGTATGGTGGCTGATATGTTGTAGATGACGCACGGTATCGTTGCTGATATATTATAGATGACGCACGGTATAGTTGCTGATATGTTGTAGATGACGCACGGTATAAGGTTGATGACATGTTATAGATGGCGCACGGTATCGTTGATGACATGTTATAGATGATGGGACGATATCGTTGATAGTACATCAAAGTTGATAGCATGTTGCAGTTGATGGTATAGTTCATGACATTGTCGACTCTATTTTTCAGTTGACGGCAACTGGACAGAGTGGGGTAACTGGAGCGCATGTTCAGTGACCTGCGAAAGTGGAAACCTGACGAGGTCAAGGTCATGTACGGAACCTGCCCCACAGTTCAATGGTACAGACTGTGACGGCGTTGCGCAGGAAGCTCAAACCTGTCACACAGGCGTTCTTTGTCCAGGTGGGAGAAGTCAAAACATTTGGTTCTTATCAATCTTCTATGGACACATCGCGCCAGCCATGACAGTTAATATGTTGTTTTCTTTCAACTCTGCTTACAGTGGATGGTAACTGGGGCACCTGGTCTCCGTGGAGCCCTTGCTCTGTAACCTGTGCGTCTGGGTCACGCGAGAGGTCAAGGTTATGCGATAACCCTGCAACGGCTAATGGTGGAATAGATTGTGCAGGACAGGCTAACGAAACGGAATCCTGTAACACTGGTGTCAATTGCCCGGGTGAGAACTTATTGTCAAAACGCATGCCCCGTCCCCTCATGATGCGTTTTGGTAAGTGGCTAATGCGTGTGTACAGAGGATATATAATTTGTAAAGTTTTATTGTGATTGAATGTGATGGCTACATTATTCCTTTAAGGGTATGATAGATATACTTTCTTACTGGTGGAGATGAGATAATTCATCAGCTTGTCAAACAGGAAACCTGTCGATCTACCTGTGAGGCACACTATGAAGCCCCTTCCTGCCATACTGGGGTTGTTGGGATACAGGGTGGTTAAAGTGTCCTCACGTCACGCCGAAGACCCGGGTTCGATTCCCGACATGGCTACAATGTGTGAAGCCCATTTCTGGTGTCCCCCGCCGTGATATTGCTGGAATATTGCTAAAAGCGGCGTAAAACCATACTCACTCAATCAATCACTCACGCCGAAGATCTTGGTTCGATATTGCAATGTGCACAGCAAGTATTTATGATATTGTTTGTTTGTTATTTAACGTCGAACTCAGCAATATTCCAGCTTTATAACGGCGGTCTGTCAATTATCGCAACTGGACCAGACAATCCAGTGATTGACATCATGAGCATCGATCCACGAAATTGGGATACGATGCATGCATCAACTAAGTTTGCGAGCCTGACCACCCGATTTCGTTAATCGCCCCATTTGATACGCCATGTGGCTGGCATAAGCGGCGTAAAACGATACTCACTTACTCACGCACCCTTGGTGTCCATTGTGTGTGTATGTATCAAGAGCTGTGCTGGTGCATACGCAGAGTATCACATGATCACTAAACGGGACACGCGACCCAGAACATGTATCTGTGTTTATCTGCCTTTCCACAAAGCATAAATGGGGCGGTCGGGTAGCCTTGTGGTTAAAGCGTTCGCTCGTCACGCCGTAGACCCGGGTTCGGTTCCCGACATGGGTTCAATGTGTGAATCCCTGGGCCATGTAAAATCGTGGACAATTAACATGAATAAATGATGTCCAAAAAAAATTAAAAATGTTAAAAAAATATATAAAAATGTGTGAAGCCCATTTCTGGTGTCCCCCGCCGTGATATTGCTAGAATATTGCTAAAAGCGGCGTTAAACCATACTCACTCACTTTCTCACTCATAAAGCATAAATGTTTATTGATGATAATGAAACTTTAAGGTAACCTACTTGTCTTTCAGTTCATGGCGGTTTCCAGTCCTGGACTTTGTGGGGCGCATGCTCAGTGACCTGTGACAATGGAACTCAAACCAGGTCACGTGACTGTAACAACCCAGCTCCGCAGTTTGGTGGAGCCAACTGTTCCGGAGGTTTCACGGAAATGGTATCGTGTGACCCAGGCATCAGGTGTCCATGTGAGTTTCATTCAATGAGACGACTATTTTACACCCTGTTACAGGTGAACAGATTCTTCGTTTTATAGTGAAAGAGCATCGCGATATACTGTCAGAACCATTACAATCAGATCTTAGTTCTCGCTTTTGCTAAACGAAGATCTGACGACATCCCATTACGGGTCACGTCAGAACGACATTTCAACCAACCAATCAGAGCGTCACTTACCAGATCATGGAAGTGACAGTCTGAATGTGTTTTCTAGTCATGCAACCACGAAATATTTAACACAGGGTATTCGGAACGACAATTACGATTTTTGTGATAATATCCATACAATCTAGGCCATCAAAATATGTTTCGAAGCGTAGTCGCAAGTTTGAAACTAGTGCCGTTAAGCTCGAGAAAGCTGCCTTCTGATATGGAGGTTTTATTCGATATACATGTTAAATCACTGTGCGTGCAGGAATTTGCAACTGGTGACCGACAAAAATAATTATTTTAAGAAATTACAATGAAATCATAAGAATTCAGATTGTTGTAGCACAACTAGTTTATGTAGATACGTCAAGGTGTTTAACGTCGCTTTAAACAGCGTTTCAGTGATTCACGGCGAGTGTACTTCATGTAGGAGGCACAACCGAGGTCAGAAGTTTACCAGTCTCGTATAACACACAAGCATGGGTATGGTACTGAAAAACACAGAGCACAATCAGGGCGAACTGGGAGTAGTGTTCACAATCACAGGTCCTTGGCAGAGCGAATTGCGGAACCCTAAGACGGGTGTCACACGTGTTCACATGTGTATGACACTGTACATTTTGTCACAAGATACCTGTTTCCGTGAGTTGACATGTATATTGTGTCACTAGATACCTGTTCCCGTGAGTTGACATGTATATTGTGTCACTAGATACCTGTTCCCGTGAGTTGACATGTATATTGTGTCACTAGATACCTGTTCCAATGAGTAGACATATATATTGTGTCACTAGATACCTGTTCCCATGAGTTGACATGTATATTGTGTCTCTAGATAACTGTTCCCATGAGGTGACATGTATATTGTGTCTCTAGATAACTGTTCCCATGAGTTGACATGTATATTGTGTCTCTAGATACCTGTTCCCATGAGGTGACATGTATATTGTGTCACTAGATACCTGTTCCCATGAGTTGACATGTATATTGTGTCACTAGATACCTGTTCCCATGAGTTGACATGTATATTGTGTCACTAGATACCTGTTCCCATGAGTTGACATGTATATTGTGTCTCTAGATAACTGTTCCCATGAGTTGACATGTATATTGTGTCTCTAGATAACTGTTCCCGTGAGTTGACATGTATATTGTGTCTCTAGATAACTGTTCCCGTGAGTTGACATGTATATTGTGTCTCTAGATACCTGTTCCTATGAGTTGACATGTATATTGTGTCACTAGATACCTGTTCCCATGAGTTGACATGTATATTGTGTCACTAGATACCTGTTCCCGTGAGTTGACATGTATATTGTGTCACTAGATACCTGTTCCCGTGAGTTGACATGCATATTTTGTCTCTAGATACCTGTTCCCGTGAGTTGACATATATATTGTGTCACTAGATACCTGTTGCCGTGAGTTGACATGTATATTGTGTTACTAGATACGTATTCCCATGAGTTGACATGTATATTGTGTCACTACATACCTGTTCCCGTGAGTTGACATGTATATTGTGTCACTAGATACGTATACCCATGAGTTGACATGTATATTGTGTCACTAGATACCTGTTCCCATGAGTTGACATGTATATTGTGTCACTAGATACGTATTCCCATGAGTTGATATGTATATTGTGTCACTAGATACGTATTCCCATGAGTTGACATGTATATTGTGTCACTAGATACGTATTCCCATGAGTTGACATGTATATTGTGTAAGAAACGCAATGCCATTTGTATTTGCTGAGATAACTAGAAAAGATACATTAAACTGACATGTATATTATATCACATTATATTTCAGTGCCTGGGGGGTGGAGCACATGGGGTGCTATGAGCCCCTGTTCCTTGACTTGTGGGGGTGGAGTCCGGGTGAGGAATCGCCCATGTAACAACCCTGTACCGGATCCTGGAGGCGACTGTCCCGGTGTGGAGCTTGAGATGGAGCCATGCAACACACAAGTGTGTCACCCATCACACACTAATATGGTGAGAACATAATGTTTGTTGGTTGGTTAGTTGTTTAACGCCGCACTCAGCAATATTCCAGCTATATGACGGCGGTCAGTAAATAATCGAGTCTGGACCAGACAATCCAGTGATTAATATCATGAGCATCGATCCACGCAATTGGGATCGATGACATGCATCAACCAAGTCAGCGAGCCTGACCACCCGATCCCGTTAGTCGCCTTTTACGACAAGCATAGTCACCTTTTACGGCAAGTATGGGTTGCTGAAGACCTATTCTACCCCGGCGTCTTCCGGGGCGAGAACGTAATGTAACGTTGTACTTACCAACATGCTGAAATTATTGAATATTGATAAGTTTCATGTTTTCATAATTTTAGACGGTCAGTAAGATGAACTAGCTTGTCACAGTTACGCAGACAATCGAGTTAGATGTCTTCAGATATATATGATTTTTTTATTTTTTTTAACGCCGCACTCGGCAATATTCCAGATATATGAGGGTGGTGTGTAAATAATCGAGTCTTGACCAGACAATCTGTCTTCAGATATGGCCCCTTCACCATATCTAAAAAAAACGTATTGAATGAAGTTATAGTGCATAACGCGGTGAAGATGTTTTTTAAAAGACAATCTTGTCGATCCACGTGTCTGTGCTACGTTCATCACTATATAAAACACCAATTTACATGCTTATCACGTAACACACCCTTTCACTTCAGACATGCAACCACCAGTGGTTTCCGTGCAGAGATGGGAGCGTTTGTATTCATTTCCTTATGAGATGTGACTGCGCATACGACTGCGCAGACGGAAGTGACGAAGAGGTTGAGTATGCACGCTGTGTACCTGACATCGATAAATGCATAATGACAGACACATCGTCAGTCCTGTTACCTGCATGCTGGCTGATTTGGCTTCTGCTTGTACTGTAGTTTATTGTGGAAACACTACCGAGACGCATCTCCCTTGGTGATGCCAACGATATTCATATGCAAATGACGCAAAATATTTGAAATAATTTCAAACATTTGTTTGTGTTTAGTCGATCCAAAAATATTATTTGATTGCTATTAATAAATTCAAAGTAAAGGAAAGGGAAGTATGAGTGCGATAGCTGGAATTGTGTTTCAATCATTCTGCAAGCCATTGTACATAATGTCTAATGGCAGAACTGTTTTCGACATTATAATTGCTTTCACTTTTCGTAGGACGTCTGACTTCCTTAATATTTCCTCCCCTCATCTACCCGTTTAAACATTATCTACAAACATACCCATGCGTCTTATTCCCGTGAAATACTTGTAACTGATTTTAAATTAAAACATGCTGCAAATCATCAACATTTCAGTTTTTATGTGTACTCCTATTTCGATGACGACGATGAGAACAACTCCACTTTCATTGAAACCATTTTATTAAATGATGTTGGCGTGTACATGTGTACATTATCCTATGATGGCAGGGTTGCCGGCATCGGTAGACAGAACAAAGTTCTTGAAGTAGGAGTAGCAGTCATGAGTTGGAGCCCAAGTGCTGTCACGACCACCAAAGAAAGTTGAGAAGAATATGCCATCCAAGTCAACGCTAGCTTTGGCCCGAATGTTGAGTTGGTCGATAGTGAAAACCAGTTTACCATTATACCACACCTTGATAGAACCATCTGTCTTCCCAGGGGTGTTGAGACGGACTGACTGAGCGATGTTCTGCCAAACGCCTCGCTGGAACCTCCATTTACCACGTCCCATAGAGTACCCTTTTATGGAGTTGCAGACCACGTGGTCACAGAAACCGTCAATCTGATGAGTTTTATCTTGTATGTAGCCATACACCTCTCCATCCCCGTCCGCCCTCCACATAAACCTGGTCGAGAAGCAGTTGTCCGAGTGCCTTCCACCAGAGCAGTTGGTCCATCCCCCAAACAGCCCCGGTAATTTTCCTCCGCGCCTGAAGTCAAAGCTCTTGTCAAAGTAGACATCATAACTGAAGGTCATGATGCTATGGTCTTGAGTCGGCGTTGCAAAGAACTGGACACCTTCATTGGGGCCATGGCTACTGTAGCGGCCCTTCTCGTACCAGACTTTCAAGACGTGGTTGCTTCCACCGTCAGGGTCCGTGACGACAGATCCAGATCCATGGTCGTAGTCGTTGGAGGTCAGCGCATGCATACCATTGCGGTAGTTTGCTGGGTCAAACTCTTTATGAACCCACAAAACCGTTCCTAGGAAGAGGAGAAAACAGAGTTAGTTAGTCCTTCTTGATATCCATGCGCTTATTTCGTGATCTTAAAACATCAGATTTAAAACAACAAGATGAAACTCGTCATTAGAAGCAATCAAGCTTCAACCAAACATATTGCTATTCCCAATAAAAACGTCTTTGTCTTCTTTATGTTTCAGAGAAGGAAAACAATTCCTTCCAATCTATGAGAGACCATGTGAACGTAATTATCAGTGAGCAGGAAAATTGCTGGCTTTACTCCACTGTCGGTAATTTTCCAGAAATGGTCTTTTCACAATGTAACCATGTGGGAAATAAAACCCGGGATCTCGGCGTGACGACCCAACGCTTCTTGAGTCTCTTGAGATGAGTGTTAATGACTATTGTTTTTGGTTTTGGTAAATATGTAGGGAAGAGAATATTAACCTAGCGAAGTGAAGCTGGTAACATACAACTCAAATATAGTTAACTCTCAAATCAGATTAGTTTACCCGTACGAAATCAATAGATTCCGATTAATGTACGGCAAGAGTGAGTGAGTGTGAGTTTATGCCCCTTTTAGCAGCTTTGTAGCAACATCATTACGGGTAAACACCAGACATGTTTCATGTGGGGAACGGACGAACCATAGCTTTAACCTCTAGGCTACCCCACCACCCCTGCTTCATGTTAGAGGACCCGTGAAGGTCCGGTGTAGAATAGGTCTTCAGCAACCCATGCTTGTCGTAAGAGGCGGCTAACGGGATCGGGTGGTCAGGCTCGCTGACTTGGTTGATGCATGTCATCAATCCCAACTGCGTGGATTGATGCTCATGATATCAATCACTGGATTGTCTGGTCCAGACTTGATTATTACAGACCGCCGTCATAAAGCTGGAATATTGCTGAGTGCGGCGTTAAACAAAAAACAACCAACCAACTCCATCTTAGAGATATATATTGATAATCAAATACCTTCGACGGATGCGCCGATAGCCAAAAATAGCAATAAGACCAGCTCCATGATTCTGAACGTAGAAAAAACGATAAAAAATCAGTATAATTCTTTGTGATTGTGTTTACATCATCCGATATTCCAATAAATAAAAGCGACAAAACCCTTTCCATATTCAATAGAAATCTCTGCAAAAACAGTCGATTGTACAGATGTCACGAAATCATTAAATATTTCTTTGTGATTGTGTATACATCATCGGATATTCCAATAAATAAAAGCGACAAAACCCTTTCCATATTCAATAGAAATCTCTGCAAAAACAGTCGATTGTATAGATTTCATGAAATCATTAAATATTTCTTTGTGATTGTGTACACATCATCGGATATTCCAATAAATAAATGCGACAAAACCCTTGCCATATTCAATAGAAATCTCTGAAAAAGCAGTCGATTGTATAGATTTCATGAAATCATTAATTTTATTTCTTTGTGATTGTGTATACATCATCGGATATTCCAATAAATAAAAGCGACAAAACCCTTTCCACATTCAATAGAAATCTCTGCAAAAGCAGTCGATTGTATAGATTTCATGAAATCATTAAATATTTCTTTGTGATTGTGTACACATTCCAATAAATAAAAGCGACAAAACCCTTTCCCTATTCAATAGAAATTTGTCACAATTCACAGTGGCTGATATCGGCTTGGCCGTTAAAATACGTATTTCTGTTGATCTGTTAAATTTTAAGTATATTTTGATTTATTTTCATAACGCCAATGTGACTTTACGGAAAATGAGTCTATTATATCTGCAAGCAACCTGCCGTTAAACACGTAGTAATGGTTACTATCACATTTACCAGATTGGAGCATATAGGAAGTACACAAACAAGTTATAGAAGCTCTCCTTACAGCTCAGATCAGATCAGATCCCGATTCTCATTTTTTTAAAGATATATTAAATAATTAGAAATGTTAAATAGAAAACCTCAGCGCCATTGGATGCTGAGTATCGATTGTGCACGGAAACAGATTCCATTGAGCGTAAGAGGCAAAATAGTTATGAAAATTATTTGGATAAACCACTGAAAAGCAAACATCCACGTTGTGTTACTACTCACCGGGTTGACTTTCTGCCGCAGCTAACGAAGCAGTAATTTCATGTCAATTTATATAGAGTTTTGAGACTCTTATCGAGACAACCCCCTGACCTCCTGCACGAATCACGCGTGTATGCTGACATACCGTGATTAAAGGTCAGTATTTCGCTTCGTTGACAATCATTTACGTTAACTTCTACTGACAGAATCAACCCTAACGGTAAGCATATAGTTCTTCCCTACTGTGACAAGGGGGCGGTCGGGTAGCCTAGTGGTTAAAGCGTTCGCTCGTCACGCCGAATACCCGGGTTCGATTCCCGACATGGGTACAATGTGTGAAGCAAATTTCTGGTGTCCCCCGCCGTGATATTGCTGGAATATTGCCAAATGCGGCGAAAAACTATACTCACTCACTACTGTGACAAGACAATGTCTCTTTTATCTAAGTATTTAACTTTCAAAATTAGTTGATTCGCGTTTATTCTAGCTCTGGTCCTCGGTGTTTTGATGAGGCGGCTTGGATGCGGATGTGTGTCAAAACACCGGAAATTGTTCTTTAGATGAACTTATGTCTTCAACTGTCCAATAGTTAATAATGCGTTAATAATATCATAGAAGTTCTATTCCTGGTTAGAATAGATTCCAAGCAACCTATGCTGGTCGTGAGTGGTGACCAAATGGATCGGGTGGTGAGGTTCGGTGACTTGATTGCGTGTCATCGTACCCCGGCGGCGTGAATCGTTGCTCACAATATCGATCATTGGGTTGTATGGTCATGACTCGATTATTTACAGACCGCTGTCATGTAGCTGAAATATTACTCAGTGCGGCGTTAAACAAGAAAACAAGCTTTAACATTTACACCTTTTGAGGTAAACTTGCGCATGCTGTTTCCACAAAGATTATCAGCTGCGTCAAAGGACTCTTTATGAAACGTTGTTTGATCAGGGTTACAATTCTCAAACGTTGTTTGATCGGGGTTACAGTTTCCAAACGTCTTGTGATCAGGGTTACAGTTCTCAAACGTGTTTGATCAGGGTTACAGTTCTCAACGTTGTTTGATCAGGGTTACAGTTCTCAACGTTGTTTGATCAGGGAAACTGTTCCCACAAACGTTGTTTAATCATGGTTACAGTTCTCAAACGTTGTTTAATCAGGGTTACAGTTCCCAAACTGTGTTTGATCAGGGTTACAGTTCCCAAACTTTGTTTGATCAGGGTTACAGTTCCAAAACGTTTTTTGATCAGGGTTACAGTTCCCAAACGTTGTTTGATCAGGGTTACAGTTCCCAAGCGTTGTGTGATCAGGGTTACAGTTCACAAACGTTGTTTGATCAGGGTTACAGTTCCAAAACGTTGTTTGATCACAGTTACAGTTCTCAAGCGTTGCTTGATCAGGGTCACAGTTCCCAAACGTTGTTTGATCAGGGTTACAGTTCTCAAACGTTGTTTGATCAGGGTTACAGTTCTCAAACGTCGTTTAATCAGGGTAACAGTTCCAAAACATTGTTTGATCAGGGTTACAGTTCCCAAACTTTGTTTGATCAGGGTTACAGTTCCTAAACTTTGTTTGATCAGGGTTACAGTTCCAAAACTTTGTTTGATCAGGGTTACAGTTCCCAAACGTTGTTTGATCAGGGTTACAGTACTCATGTGGCTTGATCAGGGTTACAGTTCCCAAACGTTGTTTGATCAGGGTTACAGTTCTCAAACGTTGTTTGATCAGGGTTACAGTTCTCAAACGTTGTTTGATCAGGGTTACAGTTCTCAAACGTTGTTTGATCAGAGTTACAGTCCCCAAATGCTGTTTGATCAGGGTTACCTTGTTCGCCTGTCTTGTTCAAGTAAATTTGCCTTGGATTTGTTTGTGACAGGCATGTGCAAATAACGCATTCGGGAGCATGCGTTTGTTCTGAGTTGGACAATCCCGAGAATGATGACATGAGCAACGACCAATGCTACACCTGACCATCTGATCCACTTAGTCGCCTCTCACGACCAGTATTGGTTGCGGGAACCATTAGGAATCCCTTCGGAGTTGGAGATTGGGATTAAATAGAACACCTTCAAATTCATCCCCCTAATTACTATCTCATTTTCTGTCTGATAGAGGAAGAGTACATTCTGCAGTTTGTGATGAATATATGAAACTTGACATGGAGTTAGAAATTGCTGTGCTGCTGGATTTGTAGCCAGTCATTGCTTTCTAAAAGGTTTCTCCAACAAGGTCGAAAATGTTTATCGGCATTTTTTATTTTGACGAAGCCTCAAATACAATAAGGGAAGGTTCAAATGTGAAGTGTATTTTAGGTTATAATGCTACTCTCAGTACTGCTGGATATGGGGCCATTTTTTCCAAATGGTTGCCAACAAGGTCGAAAATGTTTATCGGCATTTTTTATTTTGACGAAGCCTCAAATACAATAAGGGAAGGTTCAAATGTGAAGTGTATTTTAGGTTATAATGCTACTCTCAGTACTGCTGGATATGGGGCCATTTTTTCCAAATGGTTGCCAACAAGGTCGAAAATGTTTATCGGCATTTTTTATTTTGACGAAGCCTCAAATACAATAAGGGAAGGTTCAAATGTGAAGTGTATTTTAGGTTATAATGCTACTCTCAGTACTGCTGGATAAGGGGCCATTTTTTCCAAATGGTTGCCAACAAGGTCGAAAATGTTTATCGGCATTTTTTATTTTGACGAAGCCTCAAATACAACAAGGGAAGGTTCAAATGTGAAGTGTATTTTAGGTTATAATGCTACTCTCAGTACTGCTGGATATGGGGCCATTTTTTCCAAATGGTTGCCAACAAGGTCGAAAATGTTTATCGGCATTTTTTATTTTGACGAAGCCTCAAATACAATAAGGGAAGGTTCAAATGTGAAGTGTATTTTAGGTTATAATGCTACTCTCAGTACTGCTGGATATGGGGCCATTTTTTCCAAATGGTTGCCAACAAGGTCGAAAATGTTTATCGGCATTTTTTATTTTGACGAAGCCTCAAATACAACAAGGGAAGGTTCAAATGTGAAGTGTTATTTAGGTTATAATGCTACTCTCAGTACTGCTGGATATGGGGCCATTTTTTCCAAATGGTTGCCAGCAAGGTCAAAAATCAAATTTTATCAACATATCTTTGTCATTCAGTCTCACATAAACCAAAACATATTTACTCCAGGATCCGATCTACAATGACCGGAGGTATGGAATTAAATAACGACAGGATGCAACATGTTGTCAACATATCGCTGGCAAGTCAAATGTTAATTCACTATAACCAAATCAGTTCGCCTGTCATGTGTGATACCGCCACACACCATCACACTAACGCCCTCATACCGATCATGGTCGACAACTGCAGTCCTGGCATACCGCTGGCCGCTGCGTCGCCAACAACATTTTCTGCCAAATGTGAATAGGAGGAAAAACCTTGATCGTCTGTAAATACGTTGTAACGCCATTGGCGCACATCCCGTCCCACGTGTTGTCGAACCCACCCCAATCTATGCCGCCTAGTGTCATACTTTCACTGGACGCCTTGCTTTCGGGCAAGCTTCACAGAGCCAGTGTTCACAAGAATATCTTGCAATTCGCATTCCCGTTATTGCACGGTGTTCTCTATTAATAACAGGAGCAGATTTGAATCTATTGTATGGGAAACTTAATGTAGTGAGATGATGTTGTCTAGATGTCGTTTGCTTTTTGGCCTGCCACGCCCAGGTCTCCTTTCAACCCCACCCGTTTCATGGTTCTTGTCCCATAGTTGGAGAAATTACACTACTTGATTGGTCAAACGTTCGGGAAACTTGCGATATTGACGTCCCACCCCCTAGCCTCTATCGTACCCACAATTATCCATTTTGTTTGTTCATTGAGACACTGTGCGGCGGCATTTTTAAGCGTGTGCTCAGCTTAACTGCATATGTGATTCGTTCTCCTACAGGTGCAGACACTTTGGTTTCTGTTTGCACGTGTTGTTCATGCCGCCGCGATTCGCTGTGCAGAGTTGCGTCCCTTGGGCACGCCAGAAACCTATGGTTGTGGGTTCGAATCCCGGTTCGCCCCGATTATGTTTCTAGGTTTGTCAGCACCATACCCGTGCTCGTGGGTTTCACCGAAGTGGTAAACGTCTGAGACCTGCATCACTTCGGGCTTTCCTCCCACATAAAGCTGACACGCCGCGATATAACTGGAATACTGTTAAAAGCGGCGTTAAACCCAACTCACTCACTCACTCACTCACTCATGCGTGATGTGAAATGTCATTGTGATTAGATGTGACGTTCAGATGCATTCCAAAGGTAGTTTCTGTAACGTACACCTCAACGATACCCAATTGCGTGGATCGATGCTCATGATGTCCTTAAACAACCAACCAACCAACCAACCAACCAACCAACCTCAACGATACCCAATTGCGTGGATCGATGCTCATGATATCCTTAAACAACCAACCAGCCAACCAACCAACCTCAACGATACACAATTGCGTGGATCGATGCTCATGATATCCTTAAACAACCAACCAGCCAACCAACCAACCTCAACGATACCCAATTGCGTGGATCGATGCTCATGATATCCTTAAACAACCAACCAGCCAACCAACCAACCTCAACTATACACAATTGCGTGGATCGATGCTCATGATATCCTTAAACAACCAACCAGCCAACCAACCAACCTCAACGATACCCAATTGCGTGGATCGATGCTCATGATATCCTGAAACAACAAACCAACCAACCTCAATAATAGCTACATTCGAATCAGTAGTTCCCTATTTTGTGTAGGTATTATATATGTATTCGTATCTAATATTACAACGTTTAATACATTCAATTTGCGATACTTCAGATTAATGTGAAACATATTCGAGGATTTGTGCACAGGACTTTCAAATTGGAGAGACCTGAAGCATAGATTAAACTGTGATTTTGCCACCCCGAGCAGAAATTCTGATCTACATGCAGAAAGAAACAAATATCCTGTACCAAACTTTCCACATCTATGTTTACTATCAAGATTCAACATATGTATTTTCCCAGATTTGATAAATGGTTATCAAGGAAAGAAAGAAACAATAGCCACGTTTTCGTGTCAAGGTGACAGTTGAGCACGAA